AAAAAAAAAATACATGATACAGTTCTTTCTTTCTAAAGGAATCTCCAGCAAGGCAGCCAGGCTGTGACAACAGGGAAGGGATGCTGACACTGTCTTGCCAGGTCCTCCTGAGTCTCACAGAAGGGAAGGTGGCCTTACCTTTGGCAATTGTCGGCATCTGGAAAGCGATGCTAATGACTCCCACCAAGTCTCCCAGGGGAATCAGGGATCTCAGAATAGACCTGATTCTGATGGCTTCTCCCTTACCAGCATGAATCAACTGAGCAGGAAGAAAGACAAAGGGACGTTAGAGTGAGTTTGTGAAGTCAACACTATAGTTTTGTTTAAGAAACTTCTAAGTATGGGCATTGGGACAAAAGGTAATTTTCTATCAGGTATACGTGTAAAATTAGGCCTTTCTCAGAAACTATTTCAGGTTTACAGAAAGGTATCTCCTTGCTCCCAATTTTCACTTACTGCAGCATATACCAAATTGTATACACTGTGGTCTAGGCCAACTGGTTTACCCATTAGAACCATAGTTTTTATTCGTTAGGTGTGAAAACACTGCAAATCCAATAGGTCTAGGAATGCTTACCCTCCATTACATGTAAATATTTCCTCGTAACATGATCAATAACATAAAGCAATAATCATTACCTTAATCACTGAGCATACACTAACATTGAAGATTGAGTTAGCCTCCTTCTTGTCTTGCAATAAGAAATTAATTGAACCTCCATCCATATTCCACCTGACTTTTCTCCAGGGTGGGAGGATGGTGGCCACAAATCCTAGGGGTCTCTTAGACTATCACTGGCTGGCAAAGTTCCCATGAGGGGAGTAGATCAGTGGAAAATCTCTCAGGCCATAGGATCCCTGACCCAGGACAGACATCTGCTTCCTGTAACACAGGGTGGAACCCCGAGCAGGATTTCTGACATACAGGAGGTCTACTGGTGGCAAAGACGAATTACTTTCAGAATAACTAAAGTGATTGCTTATTAATTCACCCAGTACCCCAAACCGCAGATGTGACAAACAGAACATTAATATGAATTCTATTTGGTTCCTCTGATCTTTTTCATTGAGATGGGAAAAAGAATGAGTACTGTGAGCATTAACTTTTTGCTTGTGATAACCTTGACAGCTTCTAGTAGCTTTTTTTTTTTTTTTTTTTTTGCAGTGCAGAACCCAGGCCCTCTTGCATCCTAGACAAATGCTCTACCACTGAGCATTACACCTGAGCCTCAAACAAATTTTTGATAATCTGTTCTCATTTACTAAAATTAAAAATATCCTTAGCACAACCTGTTTTTACAAAAATCAGATACAAGGTTCTAACATTCTAATATTTCTCTATCCTGTGATTCCTCTCTGCTCAAAACAGAAGAGTAGACCAAGTAAGTGTGAGCCTACAGGTGTGAAAAAGAGACACAAAACCAAAACCAAACCAAAGAGATGGCAAGAGCAGGGGAGAAAAGTGTCGCATCAGCAAGCCCCTCTGCTTGGTGTGCACCTGGTTTAAAAGTGAACCTGTAGTTCTGAACCCTTCTGTCCCAGTCCTGGTCAGTACAGTTCAAACTCTGGGTTGTTCCCTTCACAGATCATGAAGGTAATTTTTATTGCCACTGGGTAGCATTTTTAAAAACACCAACAAGAAACTAAAACAGAATAAATTTAAAATAAAGCAGAAAATAGCAGAATGTGTTCCAGAGTAAAAATATTATTCCAAGAAGCTCTAATTTCAACTTGGACAGAAAATTTTGGAGAATGCTCATCTCTGAAGGTCTAAATTCTACTTCCCTCACTGCAAGCACACCAAGAGCTAAATATGATACTTAGAAATCAACTCAGTGGAAAGATATTTCCTCTAAGAGTAAAGAAAATTGTGAGGTGAAAATGTACTCTTTCCTTCTTAAAACTGAGGGAGGCTCTCTGAGTCTTCAGACATAGGAGTGACTAAATACTCTATTAACTGAAACCTCATTACTGATTTTTTACAGCCAACAAGACATTTCCAACTAAACAAACACTCACTCAGCAATTAGGCTGCAGCCACTGCTCTCAGTGGGTATGGAAATTATGGGTTTGGGGTTCTGTAGGGATCTTTACCAGCCGCGGATGTCTTAACACAGATCAAGCAGGATTGCTGCTCCTGAGTCCCCAGGCACTCACATGCATCTCAGGGGCACAGCGCCCCAGGAGGTCAATCAAGGCTGCATAAAAGGTCATGATGGCGTTCCCCATGTGGATGGTGTCATCTTCCTCCTCTTCTGTGTCACTTTCATGGGTTTTCCAAAAGAAACAGAAAAAAAAAAAACGGGGTAATTGACATTCACGCTTATCATACACGTCTCAGAAGAAAGGCACCTGTGTGGCAGCGCGTTCTTGTCCCACTGAAACTTTTCATAGATATTCTAAATTTACAGGTTGACATTTTTAAAGGAAAACAGCAATGAGTGAGGAGGTGAGATTCTACTGCCAAGAACACACCTGCAGGAATGTTAGTATTAATGTTCCTTCAAAAGGGAAAAGGAAGAATTGCTAGTTTGATGGATTCTGCTCAATTTTAGTGACAACATGATAAAAAAAGAAAATAGCTGATGGAAGGACTGATCCTGAGCCCACTTTTTAAGGCACACACACATAAAGGTGTCTCACAAGGTAACATATGCAAGCCACCCACAACAGTGCTCAGTCCAAAGTGAGTACTTTAGAAATTTCGTTTCATAAACTCACCCACCCCTATGGTAATGACTCTTCTCCTCACCTCCCCCCAAATAACCCAGCATTCTCCCTCCCCATCTCTGTGAAGAAAACATAAATATTTCATTATTTTGATGAAGTGGCACAAATATGGATGGCCCTGGAGGTTCCCAGTTCTCCACCTTGTTAACTCAACAGAGGCTGCCTTAGCAGGAAGTGGCAGTATGTAGAGTGATGTGAGGCCTCTGCTCATACCTCATTCTTCAGGTGCAAACATAGTGTGGTGCCCAGACCTCTGGGTACATTATCTACTGTGAGAGAATCTTAGGGTTCCCTATTCCTCCATTGCTAATAAACAAGCAGCATGGTGTAGGGGCAGATGCTCATTTCTGCTCTTGGTACATTTTCAGGCTTGAAATTCAGCCATAGTGTGAATAGCACATCTGTCCTTGGTTTGCATGTAGAAGAATATGGGTTTGCAGGACTGCATGCACGCTACCACACTTCTGCTTGAAAATCTGCCCGTGAGCCATGTGTTTGGTCTTACCACTGGGGCTATCAGTGTCAGTACATGAAGGAGGACATTTACCTCCACAATTTAAGAACATAAAGGCACAGATAAACAGAAAGCCTGGATTACCTTCGTCCATGCTGGAACCAAGTACTAGCACTGTCTAATGGGGAGAGATGTACGACAGGGACCACTTTCTAGCTCTGACTCCAATACCTTGAGTAGCATTCCACTCATCAGAGTGACATCTTTTCTCTTTGCCACCATATCCATTTGTTCCAGTTCCCACTCTCGTTAAAAGTCTTTTTTTTTTTTCCTGCGAGCATTGTAAGAACTCATTTGAATTTCCTTGCCACTGAACCCTAGTCCAGTCCCACATGTTCACTTCCCACCTGCCCAGCTTCCCAGGAACATGTGCAAGATGCATTATCCATCCCCCTACAACACAAGCTTCTCTACTAAATCCACTCAGTCTTCCCCAACAATCTCTGCCCATTCAACCTCTTCCATCAGTAAACTCCTTCTATTCTTATCTATATGGGACATTTTATTTTCAATGGGAGAAGTCATCAGTATCAGAAACAATACTTCAATATATAGAATGCCAAATATATTCTGTGAACTTCACCAAGTAGCATACTGTACATGTGAGTGTGCATATGAGACCTACAGGGTTTTGCTGGATCCGCTCGTTGGAGAGGGGCCATCTCGGGAAGGATCCTCAGCTATTTTTATGGCTTCTTCCATGGCTGCAAGAAGACCATTCCCACCTTCCCCTCTCAAAGCAGGACCGAAGCACTCAGGCCTCCTAATGAGCAATCTCACCACGACATTTGCATTTTCTTCCACACTCTCCCCTAAATTCAAAAGAGGGACATAAACAATCATGGGTTATATAGAAGCTCTGAGCAAATAAATTTTAAGACAATCAGTTCTTATTCAAAGCAATAAGTTAAACTCAAGAACGTATTAGCAAAGCCAAAACTTAACCCAAATCACTAGCTTTATAATACAAAGCACAATTTCTTTTCTTAATAGTTAAGATTATTTAAGAAAATCACTATAGAGGCACAAACTACTCATTCTCATTGACTAATTATGGAAAAAGATGTCTTAACCCTAATTATTAGAATCCAATTTAAAATTTTGTAAGAATTTAAGTACCTAAAGATTTTAATTTAAATGATGAAAGCATTATCCATGCAAATTTTGTACAATAAATGATTACTACTAAGAAAACCTTCTGAGAATAAAATGCATGATTTCTCTAATAGCATTCACTTTCTCCATGAAAATACAGGGATGAATTCTTATTTTCATGTATCTTTAATAAAAAAAACCTCAAGCAGCCTGGTCCTACCATTACAGAAGACAGCAAATCTGAGGAAGTCAAGGTATCTCTCCCCCTCCACTGGATTCCACCCGATGTCTGGATAACCCTTGGACACCAGCATCTGGCAGCTCTGCAGGCCACAGCCAGCCAAATAGCGCACAACCTAGAAGCAAGGTGACAGGCAAAGATTGCCCTGTGGATGGAAGTATTAGAATTTACACTGGGCGTGGCATGTGACACCCTCAGAGCATGGTTTCAACAAGTGCAGCTTTGCAACATCTTTTTAATCTCATGATAATCCACATGAATACCTTTAGCAAAACCTTAGATTTAAGAAATATTTAAATATAATAAAATGTGGTCATGAAAAATTTAAAAACCTGCTCTATGGAAGAACAATATTCTTAAACTTCATATCAATTGAGACCCTGCTCTACAACAAGTATATTTCTTAAGTTTCAAGAAACATATGTCAAATGGCCTCTGGCCCAATATTGAAACAAAATCCAAGATAAGGAAAGACCTCTCTAAAATGCACAGATCTTTTAAAGAGGTGGATTATTTTGAAAACAACGCATTAGTTAATGGGGGAATGAATGTGAGGAGATGCACAGAGAGGAGGGAAAACCCAATATGGAGTCAAACATCCCACTTAAAATCAGAACCGTACTGCTCACCGGATTCCTCACTGGGAGCAAGCTATTCATGCATTTCAGGAACTGTTTCAGTGTCTAGAAAACTCGAGACAGGTTGAGCATCCTTCATTCAACAATCAAAAATTAAAAATTCTCTAAAATTAAAAATTTTGAGTGCCATCATGATGCCACAAATGGAAAAGTTCATACCTGACCTCAAACGACAGGCTGCAGTCAAAACTCAGGTGCACTCAAAGTATCTTACGGAATCACCTTCAGGCTATGTGAACAAAGTGTTTAGATTTGGGTCCCTTTCAAAGAGATCTCATTATAGATAATAATTTAATTCCTATTGATATATTGCTTATCAATAGAAATCCATAACCCCAAAACCCCAAAGTCTGAAACACCTCCAGGTCCAAGAATTTTAGGCAAGGAATACTCAACCTATATACTATCTAGTTTTCAGTACTGTTGAAAGTAGTGCATCCAAAATTTCTGCAAAGCTTTACCTTTTAAAACATTTTGTTTTATATGAATGTTGGTCCCTTTTCAATATTTCATAAGAGATTCAGTTTTAAAAGAAATTCCCACAGAAGTCAACATCAATGGTAACACACTGTTAGAGGAGCAATTTAGCATACAAAATTATGTATAGCTGAGGGTAAAGTGGTTTGAAAAGAAGCAATATAGCTAAAAATGTGTATCAACAATGTGGAGGTAGAAGTGAGGTGCAATAGAGCCCTCTATTTAAAGCAGGAATCCAATGAGCTCTGAGAGATGCATGCAGCTGTAAAAAACACCCTACAGCCAGGATACAGAACATATCTATCATTCTCCCAAGGTCCCCTGTGCCCTCTGCAGTCCCTTCCTCTCCAGCCCCAGATGATCCCATAAGATTATAACCACTAGTGAGGATGAGCCGTCACAGTTTGTGAGCCATCACAGTATGTGTGAGCACACTTTAATGCCAGGCACAGTGGCACACACCTGTAATCCCAGCAACTCAGGAGGCTGAGGCATAGTGATTCTGAATATAATGCCAGCCTCAGCAAACCTCACTAAAAATTGGCTTCGGTTTTCTAGAATATTTATAACACCACCATGCATCATGTATCTTTCTGTACCTGGATTCTAAGGTTCCTTCACCCTATAGCATGTCAGTCCTTACTTCCTTTCACTGCTGGGTGGCATTCCACTACACGGCGTGCCACCATCTTGTCAACTCATACACTGGTGGTTAATTCTGCTGTTTGCTATGATGAATAAAACTGCTTCAACTGCTTGGACAACTGCTTCTTGTCCAAGTTTTGCACTCGGATATCTATTTTCCTTTCTACTGTCTGGATTCCCAAGAGTGGAAAGGCTGGCCGGGTGGTTTATGGTGGGGTATGGGTTTAAATTGATAAACCACCCAGCTGCTTTTCAAATCAACTGTACCATTATTCACTCCAGCATCTGAATAGGGGATTAACTGCTCACATCCTCCTCTGCATTTGGTATTATCCAGCTTTTTAGTATTTGCCACTTTAACAAGTGTACAGAGGTAGCTCAGAGATGCAAAGCTCTGGACAGAAGAATCAGGAAGATCTGGGGAGGAGCTTCATGAAAGGCTGCACACTGAGCGTCACCTGTGGAGACCGAGTTAATGACAGAAGAAAATCTCTCTGACCTTGCAGACCTGATGGTGTGATTTAAAAAATCCCGAGGAAATCTTTCAAAACACATTAACATGTAGATTTTAAACTATAGTCATGTGCTGCATAACAATGTTTTGGTCAACAATAGACCATATACTCATCCGTGATCCCATAAGATTATAAACACTAGTGAGACTGAGCCATCACAGTTTGTGAGCCATCACCATATGTGTGAGCACACTTTAATGCCAGGCACAGTGGCACACACCTGTAATCCCAGCAACTCAGGAGGCTAGGGCATAATGATTCTGAATATAATGCCAGCCTCAGCAACTTAACAAGGCCCTAAGCAACTTGGTGAGACTATTTCAAATAAAAATAAGAAGGGCTGGGGATATGGCTCAGTGGTTAAACAACCCTAGATTCAATCCTGCTACCAAAAAAAAAAAAAAGCTGTGTATATACATAAAAAGTATTCATATAAATACCAATAAAATAAAAATGGGCATTTACATGTGTGTGTATGTATGTATAAATGGAATATACAAATATGTTGTCAACTGTGGAGATAAAGTAGCAAAGGGTATAAGAAGAGCTTAAGGAAGCAGGACAGAGGTCTCAACTTAAAAATCAGGGACATGGAAGAGCTGATCAAGAAGGTGACAGTGAAGCCAGAGCTGGAAGGACATCTGTAAAAGAGCCATAAACCCCTGGAGTGAGGATATAGTACATGAAGTATGGAACAGCAAGTGCAAGGCCAGGAGACGGGCACACCAACCACAAGAAGGAGGGAGGGCTGGAGCAGAGGGCAGGAGGGACAGCTACAGGGTGCGAAGTTGCTGATGTGTGGGTTGGACAGCAGAAGAGCTGGGGCAACACCTGCGGGTTTTACTTAGAGGGATAAAGGCACACGTCAGAGTGTCCTTTTAAGTGGAACACTGGCTGCAAAGGTGAGAACAGACTCTAGAGGGACAGGGAAGGCAGAGGTGGCCACTTGGGACACTACTGCAAGGGCACTAGAGGGACAATCTCTACACACTGGTTAGCAAACATGTGGATAAATGCCTCAGAGTGCGTGGCCAGAGTGCACAGCTGAAGCCTTGTATCGGGATACACAAATGCAGGCCTCAGTCACAATCACGTATGACATGTTTAAACAACCTTTTAAAAAACTGAAACTGCCAGGAGGCTGAGGCAGGAGGGTCCCAAGTTCAAAGCTAGCCTCAGCACAAGTGAGGGGCTAAACAACTCAGTGAGACCCTGTCTCTAAATAAAATACAAAATAGGGCTGGGGATATAGCTCAGTGGTCCTGTGTTCAATTCCCAGTAAACATCCCTTCCCCACCAAAAAAAAAAAAAAAAAAAAACCCTGAAACTGTGTCATTGTTGAAGCAAAAGTCATAGCAGACACCATGAAAAGGCAGAACATCCAAGAACACAGATGAAGTTGATTCCTTTTCATAGAAAACAATTGTCATCAGAGGAGATACCACATCTTAAAACTTTTTGATCTCTGACTAACCATAAAATAATGTGCAAAAGGATTAAAATGCAATACCTATTACATAGCAAGACTATTCCATAACCCTACTAGAAATGTAACATAGCCATTCACATTTAAGCAGTCCTGAGGAAGAGCTGTGAACAAGCCTCATTCCCTCAGACACACAGGGCAGGAGTGCGGCTCACCTTCTCCAGATCTGGCTCCCGCAGAGCGAGGGCAAGCTCATTGTTATCCATCACCGAGGCTGCTGCCACGTCCAGTGGCGTTGAACCTCTCATAGCCGGTGAGGCTGATGCAAAAGAAGGTAAAATAAAACCTGAATTGTGCTGTAACTATGAATTCTACATAAAAATACTCTAATTTTTAAAATCTAATTTCCATACAGACTGCACCAATCTAAAACAATCAACAAAGTTAGTTTCTATTTATTTTTGACAAATCAAATTATGTATATTTATTGTGTACATGTTTTGAAATGTGTATTCATTGTGGAATGACCCAACAGGTCTAATTAAAATATATATCCCTTCAGATATTTATCACTCTTTGTGATGAGAATCTGCTCTCTTAATGATTTTTGAGATTACAATACATTGTTACTAACTACAGTCACCGTGTTATACCCAGATCTCTTGAACATATTCTTCCTGTGTGCAATGTGGCCTTTGGCCAACATCTCCCCAATATCTCCTCATGCCCTAGTGACCAGAATTCTACTCTCTGCTTCTATGAGCTTGACTTGTTCAGATTCTACATGTAAGTGAGGCTCTACAGCATCGATCCTTCTGTGCCTGGCTTTTTTTCACTTAACCCAATGTCCTCCAGATCCATCCACTGTCACAATTTATAGGATTCCCTTCTGTTTGAGGAGGCATAGTTTATATCCCACATTTCCTTTACTCCCTCATCTGCTGATGGACACTGAGGCTGATTTTTGCAACTGTGAACACAGAAGAGCAGACATCGCCTCAAAAGATGACTTCCCTACCCTGGACATATACCTAGAAATGAAAGTGTTAGACCATGTGGTAGCAACATCCTTACCCTCCAAACTGTTTTCCATAATGACTGTACTAATTTAGACTTCTTCCAACAGTGTACCAGGGTTCCCTTTTCCTCTCATCCTCTCTAAAACTTGTTTTTTTTTCCTTTTCTATAATAGCCATTTTAATAGGTATTAGGTGATATCTCATTATGGTTTTAATTTGCATTTCTCTGAGTAGTGATGCTGAACATTTTTTCATATACCCCTTGGTCATGTGTATGTCTTCTTTTGACAGTATCTATTCAGATCCCATGCCATATTAACATGAAGTTGTATTTTTAAATGAGGTCTGTACACTAATTTTATCTTAAAGATTAAATAAAATAAAAGTTATACAGTTGCTTACCAAGACCAACACTGCTGTTCTCCAGTAAATAACTGAGATGATCAAACATGGCTTTTTGATTCTGCCGACTTATTCGACAGAAATAACAGAGAAAGCGACAACAGTTGGCCACCATCTTGGGAAAGGTAATCTCCTACAGAAAGGATGTGTGATTAGTCACTGAAAGCAAGCAATCTCCATAAAACTGAGTACAGAAGTGGGGGTCTCAGTCACACTGTCCATCCGTCTGTCTTCGTGCACCAAACATCAGATATAGGTGGCCTTCAAATACACGGCGTACGAGCCACCTAGTCCTTGGGCCAATGAAAATCAAGCCCAGCACCAACTCAGAAACCTCCCTATCACCATCAGGTTGAATCTAGAATTCATCTATATCACTGAGGGCTGCCCGAGCCTCACTTAGGAATCAGCTGTGGTTCCTGACTATTACCAACAGCTGTGGTTCCCTGGGAAACTAAACAACCTCTTGATTCTGTTTAGTAAAACTGGGATAATATGGATACTAATACTCTAGGGAGGGAAGGGAGAGGACACATTAAGAAAATTTCTGAAAAATACATAGTTCAGAACTTGAAACCTCGTAACAGGGTTATTATTAACATTATTATTACTATCATTATTATTATTACTGAGAATCTGAGGATTCACAAGCTCCCTGATTTGCACACCACTTGCATGCAGAGAGGAGTCCACTGATCAGAAGACATGCCTGGTGGGCCCATCAAACATACACAAACATCCCCCCAGATGATCCCTGCAGTCCTTCCTTAACAGAAAATACAGGGACTATATATGCAAATACTGAATTTAGTACTAAAAATAGCATGTATATGAAATTATAATTTATAAGCCCAACTGGTAGACACACTGATCATGGGAAATATGACTTGTTCCCATAACATATAAGATGCATCTTGAAATTTATAATATAGAAAAATATACGGCACATAAAATTATACTGATTTATATCAAGTTATTTATTATATTACTCCATCAGTTTGCTTTTCCAGAACTTTGTTTTAAATTTTAGTCACTTAGAAGTTTACTTTTCTGTCTCACAACACATACTTTCTAGAGGATCACTGCCCAGTACTGATTTGATTCAGGAATTTAGTGGACCCAACCAGGATCCAGGCCAGGAGCAACAGTAGAGTCTGAAGGACATGCTTGTGTTAGATTTGTAATGTGATGGGACTAGACTTAAAATTAAAATTAAACAAATTAATATAGTATTAATTTTTGGCATTTCCAATATCCCCCAAATGAGAATAATTATAAAGTGTAAAATAGAAACTTTTATCAACATTAAGAAAATAGTAGTAGTATATCTAACTTTCCAGTCTCTAAGGTTCTATGTATTTTTTTTTTTTTAAAAAAGCAGTATTTCCAAGAGGATTTAAGAAATTCTCATTCTCATGAATTTTCTGGAATCCATGTACTCTAGATTATGCTAAATAGCACTCCAAGAATCAAAGATTTTCCTTTACCTTGGATTCCCCACCTCCGAGGACATTGACCATGACCTCCATCACTGTCTCATGCATCCCAAGGGCCCTCATGAGATTCGGGTGCTGGTAAAACACTTTATTGTTCATGATATCCCTGCAAAGGACAATAGAGGCATTGAAGAGAGCAGAGTGCTTAGAGAAAAGCTTAAATGGACATTGTCCTGATATTTTAATAAGTCTTTAGAAATAACTTATGTGCATGAAAAGCAAGAGTGATCATAGTTGCACCACAAACTTTAATGAGGGCAATTGAGTTTTCCTTAAAAATATTGATAACCTACCCAAAGTACCATACAAGTTGTCTATTCTTTTCAGTGACAAGAAACATTAAATATGTGGACTTTAGTTCCATGAAACATATTTCAGACACTTATTCCTAATTTTATGGATATGCAATCATGTATTCAACTTTATTTTGTACAGAAACAATAATCAATATTGTACATTTTATAAAAAAATTCCTATATAAATTGACATATAAGTATCTCTGGTTTACATATACATGCTATTTTTACTACTAAATTCAGTATTTGCATATATAATCACAGTAGTGTTAATTTTTGCTATATTCATGATATCATTCTGGTGAAATGCTTGAAAGTAAGCATATTCTTCAAGAGAAACTGAATATGTATGAATTCCAGGTACAAGTAACCCAGATCACTAAAATGGGCCCTTGACTTAAAGAAGTAGAGGCAGATGATATGTAAAGTGATTCATATCATTATTACTGCATTAAATATTACTGCAATGTGTGTGTCAAGGTGTTTGTCAGGATCATGAAGTTCATCAAGTAGTATTACTGATATTTCTGTTCACTAAGTTCTGTACAGAACTTCTCATTTACAATTCCATCAAAAATAAAATCAATGCATTTTCTAGAAAAGACATTTGCTAGCAAGAAAATAACACAAAGCCTTCAAGACAACAGATGGCTCTTCACCTGACACCCTTAATTGAATGGCTCACTTGCTCATTTTTTTATCATATGATAAATAGTAGTTACCGAATTTTAAGTAGATGTATGATTCCACTCCCCAATAGACAGGTTGTCCTTTGAGGGAAACATTTCTAATACCACAAAAATTAGAATTTTATTTAAATTTTTATTAGTGTAAAATGGTGGTTTTAGTATCATTTTGAGTCTGATCACTAATGACTCATAATACTTTGATGTGTTCATTGAAGAAAGACAGCAACCTCTATTTCCTGGAAGACTTTCCTGTTTCTTTGGTCGAGATGAATATGAGGGAGGCCTTCTCCAGATGGGTTTAAATATTCCGACTCACGCTCATGCAGCTGCACAGGACCACAACCTACTTGCGTGTACACTCTCCTCATCCCCCTTTGTTCTATTTGAAGTGTGGAACCATCATTGTGAATTTGGAATAGAATCTTCCAGTCCATTTTCATCACTGTTAAATACTCAATGGGTTCACAAGCACCACAGTTTTGCTTTCCAAGTTTAAAATGTACATAAATAGTATTTAGCAACCTGCATTTTTACACCCGTATTTTCTTCCCTGGGGATTATTTCTGAGTTCTGTCAAGGAATAACCTGGTTATTCTATTTCACTGTTTGCCTTTCCCCCTCTAGGCTTCCTTCGCTGATTTCAGTGTTTCTTTGGTTCTATTTCATTCAGTCAGCAGCTTTTTTGTCTCCTCCTCTTGATATCTGTAAGACCATCATACAGTCCAAACAGTATGTTTACATCCACACGCCTACTGTACTGCTACTGGGATCAAAGTCGGAAGAAAGAGGTTTATAAGACAGAATGTTGCCAGGTTAAATAACTCACCCCAACCCACGAATCATAAGCTTCTCCTCCTCTTTGCCCATTCGCACACTCAGCAGAGAACGAATCTGACCAAGAGATGCCAGCAGGTTGATGGTGTCCTCCACAGAGACACCATTGATGGTGTAAGTCTTCGGCAGTGCCCGGACCAGACCCCCTATGCCATCATATTGACGATGCAGCAACACAAACATGGCCCTCACCAGCTCAGGGTCCTCAATGACTGACTCCTGGGCCCACCGAACCATTGTCTCAGATATCAACTGCTGAAGGGTGGCTGCAGAGTCATGTTGGGAATGTTCAAGGGGAAAAAACAGAAGAGAAGACATCAGTAGGACCTTTCAGCACCACATGACACAGCCCTCTATTATAAGGCTAGGAATATTCTTCAAAGAAAATGAACTTCATTTAAATATTACCTGCACTTCAAAAAGATCAGTTTTAGTGAAGCAAGGACAAAAATAATAAACTCTTCTTTAAAAAAACATTTTTATAATTGAACAAGCCATTTCAAATTTGCAACTAATTTTCCAAACTTAGCACTGGTGGTCCACCAGTAATTGAAAGTGTGGCAACCGATACAAGGGGCCTGAACTTTTATTTCCTCTGTTCCACTGTTTTCCTTTCAGAAGGTCTGACATTGAACTCCTACAAAGGTCAGTCACAGACATTCAGGAGGAAGGAGTTCATCTACTTGCCTCCTTGGTTATGCAATACTAACCACACAGAATTATATATATTTTTAGATTTGGATCTAATTCTTGTCATTTAAAATGTCTTCAGAAGGATTTGATCATGAAGTTATATCAAAGTAGAAATTTATTTCATACACAGGTCACTTGCAATATAATATGCAAAACAATTACTTTAAAATAGAAACTTCTTAACCTCTAATAATATTATCAAAATTAAGTGGGGTTGATGTAACTAATCCATAAAGAATAGTAAGGTAATACTTAATTCCCATCACTAGTACATTGGCTGATTTTTTAAAGAAGATGTTTACCTTGAACGTAGGTATTATGTAAGGAAAACCAAAAACTACCAATTTTATTCAAAAACAAAATGCAAAAAAATTTCCATAATATCTCAAAAACATTTTGCCATTTTAAAAGCATAAGATTGGAAATCTGTTAACAATAAAAAGTGGTTTATAAGAAACTTGAACTCTGATATTGAAGATGACCTGACTCAAATTTCATTCTGACTGAAGAATAAATTTAGAAATAACTATATAAAGGTTTTCCATTATAAGTTAAAGATTTAAAAATGTAAAAATTGTAGTACTTTTTTCCTTTCAGAAAGGAAAAAGAAACCCTTAGTAAGCTAATACAGCATCTTAAAATCACAGGCATCTCGGAGGCTGGAGTAATGTGCAAGTAGACCCCTCAGACCTGCTCCAGGACCCCTTCAGGACCAGGGCCAGAGAGACTCAAAGCCCACGGGGGCTTCCAGGGTTTCAAGAAGTGGCAGCCGTGGTTCCTGGTTAAATGGGATATGAATGAACCAGAAATGCTACCGTCTGAGTGAATGTTTCAGAATGAAATATAATTGTAGGCAATATACATTTACCTTTTAAGACACATGTTTAATTTGATGTGATAACTGAAATCAACTGAGTGTATAATATTTGGATACGAAGGCTAAATTCTCTTTATACTTTCTCTTGATGGTCTCTGATCACAAACCCAAGTGTGGAGCTCTCTAGAGAGCCCATCCACCCTCCAGCGCTACTACCTCTCCAACTGGCCCTACACACAGGTAGATGCTGCCATCTGCTTCTGGGAGCTGCAGACACCGACTTCAGCATCAAATTCTTGGAAGTTACAAACTCGTGACTATGCTGGCTTATCTACTATGTTAAGCATCCAAAGGATGAACAAATGTCAGGGGTCACATCACTGTGCCAGTGCCCCTTTAAACTGCTTACAGGACTTCTTGGAGTCACTCTCCACTGGCTTTTCTGCTTGCTTCTTCTTCAGGTATGTCACCTTTTCTACCAGGGACAGCAGACGCCCTCTAATGGTCAAGTCACTGTTTCCATCCAGAGACCCATCTTCATCCAGCTCAATTCCTAGCATGAGAAAAGAGAAAAAAGCAAAAAAGGAAAAATTATTTGAAAACAATACATTTGGAGAAATAATCTCAGGCTTTTAAACCTTTCCATTAATAGCTTTGAGCAAAGTCTAAGAAGCTCAAGAGCGCTAGTTAAGTGACTTGCCCATCAGCGCTCAAGTAAGATGAACCCATCAGCTTTCCCTCCCCCTCCTCCCCGGTTCCTGGGAGCTCAGGGCTATTGACAACCAGTACAAAACAAAAACTGAGCAGAAACCACAAAGATACTATTAAGAGCCAAGATCAGTTCTGCCTTTCAGGTACCCTTGGGCATCTCTGACTCGGGATGTTAACTGCTGGAGCCCATGGTCCTGCTCTGCCTAACCCCAACCCACCCTGCCCAGCTTCCATCCTTTGCTGTCCCTCCCAAAGCAACAGTGATATCTGGGTGACTTATAAGACAGAACAGGCATGACCAGATGCCCTAAACCAGGGAACGCTGCTATCTGTACCAGTGATTCCACTGTTTTACAGTTGCCTTTTGTGACAGAATCTGCATGCTGTGATTCTCAGGCAGCATTCTAGTGGCTTTTCATCCATAAGATAAATTAAGATGTATGGCTGTTTTATTCTCTTCACTTAAATAAGATGAACATTATCTCACTGGTGATGTGACACACATCTCACATCAGAACTATATCTATATATAGTTCATGTAAAAATGACAAATTCATTTTATTACAACAATTTCCACATTGTTTCATAAAGGAATGAAGAACTACACATCCATCTAATCAATTCCATTTTAAAAGTTCTAAGAAGACAAGGAGGGGTGAGTCCCTTAACAGATTATGGCTACTGACATTCAGCAATGGAGGCCTTCCATAGACACTCATTAATTTCAAAAGACCCACTGGATTTCCCAGGCCTGTCCTGAATGATGGCCCTTTGATAGGAATTAGAGAGCAGTGACTGAGATTGGGGCTCTGATGACTTCATGGCTGTGGTGTGCCTGGTGCCTGGGAATGCTCCTGTGCAAGGGCACAGGATGCCCACTCCTTTGGTAATGCCCTGCATGGGGCGGCTCTGCAGAAGAGTCTTATCAGCTTCAACCTTGATCTTAGGCACATAGATCCAGGGAATAGAGGAATTCTCTTGCTATACAACCACAATGTTTCACCAGCTCTGCTGCTCCTGAGCCTGTCCATTTAACAGTAGCTTTAAACAATGGACCTCCTTGAGCACCACACAAAGCTCCTAACATTGCACATTGCAACTGTGGAAAAGCTGCATAAATGTTTCTAATTTCTGTAACTTTCCTGAATACAAAGAATAATGCTTGCATAGTCTTCAAACTGATGAGACATATATAAATAAAGACTGCTGGCATAACTCTTTAGACCTGGTTTTTCATCAGACAGCAGCACTCTGCTTGACACCCAGCTTTATCTTCAAAATCATCTGTATGTGTTGAGTCTTTATATGTTTCTCATCTCCCTTCATTGGAACTTAGAGTTTGTCCATGCTGGTCTCAGCACACAGGCATAAATGCTTTAACTGTTTGTCATCAAATTACTTAAATTTTTTAAAAAGAACTTTATTAGGGCACACTGATAGACAAAATGGCACATGCTTAATGTACATAATTTGATTTGTTTGAACACAGGTGTACAACCATGAAACCATCACCACAATCAAGCTGTAGATATAAATCCATCACCTCTAAGTTTCCTTCTGCTTTTTTTGTCAGAAGGATTAACAAGAGATATGCCCTATAAAAGTTTCAAGTTCACAGCTCAGTACTGCTACCTGCAGGCACATGCACCACAGATCTCTAGGACTTGTTCATCTTCTTTTACAGAAACTTCACAGCCACTGACTAAACCAACTGCACACTCATCTCTCTGCCAGAAGTGCCTGCCTGAAGTCCCCACCCTTCTTCTGATTCCCTAGTGGTGAATAAAAGAAGGTGAGCGAGAGAGGCTCTCAGCCACCTTCTGCTCAAGCTCACTGCCTCTTGACTTTTCTGACTCTTTGGACTTGACACAGAGGGACAGTCAGCCATGCTGCCATAATAAATACCATTATATGAACGTGTAACAGAGCTAGAGCTATTCACCTAGATACTTAAGTGTGAACCAGGATGTATGGATTAGGAATGTCCATCTAATAGCAATTACAAATCAAGAAGATCCTACCACAGTGTGTCATCAAATCTTCATGAAAGTCCAATAGTTGGTCACGAATTTCTTCAGGACATGGACATTCATTTTTGTCATCCTTAAAATTGAGAAGCATATTGATCTGGAAGGGAAAACAGGAAGGAGGAGGAACAGGGAGAAAATTGTGAATTCCGGAAAGATACACCAAGAAAAGAGCAAAGTTGTATGAAATCAGCCCTTGAAGGAACACAAACCATTGGCCAATCAGGCAAGTCACTGTCCATTACTCAACCCAACAAATACCAACAAAGAAGTCAAATCATCCAAAGCTACACAGGCTGGAAAACTCATGCATTGTCAATTTCTCTTTCATCCTACAATAAGACTCCTGCATGTGTTTAAAACCCTTAACTAAGGGATCCTACGAGCTAATTCTTAAAGGTCATTTACTATGCTTCTCCTCCAATTCCATTATTTTCTAACTGGTATCTATAATTTTTGATGATTTTTTTCTCTTTGACTTTTTAAAAAACTTTTTAATTACCTTCAAGAACTTGTTTTGAGGATATAGCTGCAAAGAAGGAAAAATTAAAATATAATAAAATGGATGACAACACTGTTGTCAATATTCTATGAGATTCCTTTTCTTAATGATTAAATGAAACCAACTGTGGGATACTGTCTTCCATTTGATTTAGTTTATACACATTGATATTAAAATTATGAAGGAAAGACAGGTCAGATGCAATTCTATGTTTTCCTTTTAAAATTAGAATTTTGTGTAACTTTTGGAGTTGTTGTTGAAGTATTCTGAGATAACTGTAGATGACATTGTTAAAAATAATACAAAGGGCTTGTATAGCTTTCACCCAATTCCTCCCATGGTAACACCCTAGGCCTGCAGCACAGCATCACAGCAGGCTGTCAGTAAGACAGGCTCAAAACACAGGAGGACTCCTTTACCTGAAAGGCCCCAATGCCTCCTCTTTGCCTACACCCACTTCCCTACCTTACCTGCCCTCAGCCTTAACTCCTGTCACCCACTGACCCATTTTCCATCTCTTTGTCATTTTAAGAATGTTATTTTTAAAAGCAAAATGCGATATATGTATGTATTTCCCTATGATCCACTTTTGAAAAAAAATTATTTGACAAACATACATATGGGAGATATACCTTTATACTTTAATAAATGTATACACTCTTTTTGAAAGAGTAAATCATGTTAATTGATAAATCTGTCACCTCAGCTACTTACCACTTTATTGTAGTGACAAAAATATCTCACATGATCCTTCTAATGTCACTGGGTCTATAGCGACACCTCATTTCAACCCAGATGTTGGTAATTTATATCTTCCCACACTTTTTTGTGGGGGGGAGCTTTTCAGAGGTTTGTCAATTTCATTAAACCTTTCCAAAGTAACTGGGTTTTGGATTAATTTTTTCCACAAATGTCTTATTTTTGATTTCACTGACTTCTGTCCTAGTCTATATTCATGCCTATCTGGATTTTGCCTGCTTTGTTTATTTTACTTGCTGTTTTCTAAATTCTTAAGAAGGTGGCAACCTAGATTATTAATATGTGTGTTTTCAAATGTAAGCACTGAGTGGCATATATTTCCCTCTGGGCACTGCTTTATCTTGTCACAGATTTTTCTATGTGATATTCTACTTTTTTTCAGTTCACTGTATTTTTAGATATTCTTTGAGACATCCTCTTCAACTCATTGATTATTAGAAGTATACTGTTCACTTTTAAGGATTTGTAGATACACCTGAAATATTTGTGCTACTGATCTCTAATTGGATTCCAACAGGATCAAACAATATTCTATGAGATTCCTTTTTTTTTTTTTAAGTTGAGGTTATTTGATAGACCAGGATGTTATACATCACTGCAAATGTTTTATAGGCCCTTGAAAAGAGCATGGCATCTGTGGCTAGGTGGAGTATTCCACCAAGGTCAACACCCATGGATGAGGTCAACCTCTAAGGCACCAACATGAGGTTCAGTCCTGGCTGCTCTTCCTGCCCAGCGGCAAAGGTGCTGGGGTCCCCATGGTAACTGTGGGCTCAGCCCCTTCTCCTTGCAGTTCCGTCAGTTCTGCCTCCACCTGCTCTGAGGCCCTGCAGCTCAGTGCATGACCCTTCTCTCCCTGACAAGCAACTCTTCAAGCACCTCTTCATCATGGCATGATGTTCTGTCTCCAGAGATTCTCTTTACGCTGAAGTCTGCTTTCACCATGTGGCACCTGCTTTCATTTAATTAATATTTTTCATATTATCATTTTTTATTATTTTCCTTTCAACCTATGGGGAGTCACACTGGGTGACCACACCTTCCAGTCCAGATGCACCACGGGGATCTGAAAGATCACTGTGGTCTGGCGCAGTAGTGCCATGACTTGTGACTCGGTCTTTTCCCCACTCAAATAGCAAGGCCAGTCTTCTGAGTGGGCATACTCCTGGGATTGAGCTACACTAAGCTGTTCCTTTGTAATCCTACCCCTTTGCCCTGTTTGGGATAGAATGTACCATGAAAATGCCCTTTGTGTGTCCCCTTCTCCTGCTCTGCCTCTGGGTGTGGCCTCCCCAAATGTCAATCTGCTGACAGCAGATAACAGTAAGCAGACATCAACCCCCTGAAACCTGACCCCTTGACTCATTTGAATGGCTTCTTCCCAATAAAAGGGTTGCATGTGCTTACTCTCTTTCTCTATTTTTTTTTCACAGACCCCAGTCAGAGGAGCCATCACAGAACTGAAAGAAAAAGGTATCTCTGTTTCTTGTGTGATTATTTCATGTGGCGCAATTCACCTGGAGTGACCCAGAGTTCTTTAGTCGTGGAACGCAACATCAACCTATCCACATCATTATATTTGAAGTGAGTTTAGACATTATAGACTTGGATTGACTTTTTAAAATTCACTCTGCTAATTCCTTTCACATTGTATGGGTTGTTTATATTCACATAATTATTAACAGGCTATGAGTTAAGACTATCATTTTCCTTGCTGTTGTTTTATCTGTGATTTATTTACCCCAACAGGCTGTGGGTAACTTGATCAGTTTATAGGATCCATTTTAATTCTTCCATGTTATTTCTTAGTGTAGGTTTTATACAGCATTTTTGGAGGTTGCTAATGATACTATTTTTGCATAACTTATACAGACTACTAATATTAATATTTTACCAGTTTGAAGTGTAGAAATTCTCCTTTAATGTTCCTTTATTCTCCCCCAGTTACAATATGTGTCTTGAAATTTTCCGACACACCTATTGAGAACCACCCCCAACAGCTTCAGAACACCAGCTTCAATCCCAAATATAATTCAGAGAATTCCAAAGAAGGAAGGTGCATTTTTTACCCAGATACTAACACGTTCCACTGTTCTTTCTTGACTTTCCAGATTTTCTTCCTCTGTCACTTCTGTCAAAGACCCTCCTTAGCCCTCTGCAGTCACATCCCACCACTTCTCCTCACTTGGGACTGTCCCGTTTTCCTTTGCTCCTGAAGAGTCTACACATAAACTCAGGCTGACAGCTTTTCCTCTCACACATGACAAACAGCACTGTGCCACCTCCCACTGGGCTGCATGTTTCCCTATGACAAGCTCGCTGTCACTAGAATTGTTTTTCCAACTGTAGGAAAAGTGTCATTTCTTTCAAGATCTTTAGTTTTCTGAAATTTGATTATGAGGTATCTAGATATAGAATTCTTTGGCTTTTCATGCTGAGGGTTTAATCAACTTCTTGAGTCCCCAGGCTCCTGTCTTTTAGTGAATCTGGAAGTTTCCATCCCCGCATCTTCGGTTATCATTTGTGGTTCACCTTCTTCTGTCCTTCAGCAACTCCAGCATCTTGGTGTTAGGCCTTAAGTCTCTCCAACTGGCCTCTGAAGGTCTGTTTTCTTGCTTTTCCTCAGATGGAGTTGTTTCTACTGGTCCCTCTCAGTTCACTGGCTCTTTCCTCTGCCCTCTCCTGTCCACTGATAGGCCCTTTGAATGAGGTTTTTATTTCAACTGCTGTATGTTTCAGATCTGAAGTTTCCACTTGGTATCTTTTGCTTCTTTGCTGAGAATCCCATTTTTTTTTCCTATTTGGAAGCAATCTTGAGATAATTGCTCTAAAAGCTCTGTCATGACTTTGACATCTCAGTGTTGGTGTTTATTGTCTTTTTTCACATAGGTTCTTCTAGTTCTTGGGATCATAAATTATTTTAATTGACATCTAAAGAACATCAGGTGTACTGTAAGTTCTGGGTCTCATTTAAGGCTGCCATAGCTGCCTTCCTCTGACACTATTCAGCAGAAAAATTTAGAGAAGGGGCCCCTGTTGCTGCAGGGGAGGGGTGGGAGTTCTAGTGAGGACACCAGCCCTGGAAAGGTCAGAGGGTGGCTGCCTGTCCTTCCCTGGCCTCTATTGACACTCTGGGAGGGGCTGTCCCTGCTACTACTCAGCAGGGATGGAAGTCCAGCTCTCTCCTCTGGGGGCAACTTGTTATAGCCCTGCAAGTGGATGTTAGGACTCCCCACTCTGCTGGTCTGCTGAGTAGGGGTGGAGTGGGGGCAGCTTCTCTGTGGCTTTTGGATACTATGGTATAGCTATTATCTGAAGTTTTCATCTTGCTCAGCTGCCCCTTTCCCAGTCCTTTGGCAGGTAGGAGCAAGCTTCTATTAGGCCCTTCTTGTCTCTGCCCACTGGTGTTCTTGGTCAAAGGCTTCTTCAGCTCTGTATCTGGAATGGATGAGGCAGAAGAAAATCTTTGGGACTCACCACCACACTGCTGATGAGTCCCAGGTTCTGTAACCAGTGCCCTCCTTCTGCCTTACATAGCCCTCTTAGATGCCCTATCCAGGATTGTAGTTGCACTTAAAGGAAGAATAGGGAAAGGCACACGCATTCCATCTTTCCAGAAGCAGAAGTCTTCCAACAGTCCTTTAGTAGACAGTTCATCTATGAGAGGGTAGACTTGTTCTCTGCTCAATAAATGCTATTTACAGCAATAAACAAAAGTTCATTCTGATCCCCCAACGAGATTACATTCTGTTGTGAAAAGAATGAATTCTGTCTTACTCTGTAAACACTTTTGCTCTGAGCTAACTTGGAGACAGGAGACAGCAGGTGAAAGACATGGAAGCTGACATCTGTGTGCTGTACTCTTTAGCCAGCCCCTCTCCATCTTGTGCCCTGGAATCTGCAACATACACAGAGACCTGGATTTGGAGATGAGTCATTTGAGAAAGAACCATAAACAGGGTGGTCGAGCCTCCAGGAAGCTATGTGGAGAGCCATTTGGCTCTTCTACAGGAGCCACTCAGAAAGCACCTTGCCTGGAGTCCTGGCAGTCACAGGTTCCCGGCAATAGGTTTCATGCCCACCAAGGTACCCTCTGTGCTTAGGCAGTGCCATTATCCAAAGAGCTTCAGACTCTGGCACATGTGCTTCTCAGAGAGTCTGGGACATGCCTGATATCTGTCAATAAGTCCCTCTTCTATTCAGACTACCAAGTAGATTCTTTTGGCAAAATTAAGAATATTGATTAAATTAATTTGGCTAGTTTGAACAGAATACAACGACAACAAGAAAACACTCTTGCAACGTATGACACAATTTTTCAACTACAGATCCTGAATGCACTTAACTCCCAAGGAAAAAGGAAGCACATGCACGTCCTTCAAGTACCTGCTCTTGAGGTGGTGATCTAAATTCCTTGGTTTTCCTGGCTGTGAGTGCAGCCGACATGTTTAAGGCTTGCATGACTTCGTTATATCGGAAACGCTGATTATCTTGGAGCTTAGCCACAAAGTCATCTGAAAAGGCTACTATGGCTTCTATCCGGTGCCGGACCTGGCAGTCACAGAGGTACTGGAGCAATAGGCACATCTGAAAAGACAATTAAAAAGACATGTTTAACTCTAAGTCCTTCAAGAGTTGGAGCAGCCCAAGTTGCAGCCTGTTAAACATGCACAGCTACCCCCTCTCCTCCCTTAAAGAATGAATCCTAATTTTGTGTAGGTGTCAACATGCTCGGTCCTGGGGAAAAAAACATAATTTGTTTAGGCCCAAACAGCAAATACATCCCTGTGGTGGACACTGAGACTTTGAGCCCCCTCTTGCAGTCACAGGTGGTATGGCCAGTGGACTCAGACGGAGTGGCAGGCAAGGAGCCATCCAGGAAAGTCTTCATCATGAGTACTAGAACAGAATGCTTCCCGTAACTGGGTGATAACTTGAAGACTGGAGAAGGAAGGCAGTAGCTAATGCACCTTAGAAGAAAACTATGTACATGCTATAATACTTGGCAATTCTGAAATTGACAGGAGTCTTTCTTCTGGTTACCTGCAGTTTGACGGGCTCAGGCAGCTTCATTTGGAGCAGGCCTTCCTGGGGTCTCTTGCCCCCTTCGTCACCTGCTCCCTCCAGCTTCGAGTCTTCTGCACTGAGCTCTTTCTCCAGGGTGTGGCCCTCCTCCTCTGGTGTGACAGCTTCCTTGAACACACTGGGCTCAATCAGCTGCAAGATGTGCTTCAGGTCCTCGTTGTGAAAGACGCCCATGATCAGCAGAGTGTAGAACAGCTTGATGAGAGGCACAAAGAGGAATTCAGTGGTCCCCCCAACAGGGTCCCGAGCGTGCAGGCTGCCCTCTTTAACCGCTTCCGTCAGCATCTGTATGGTTTTGGCCTTCAGAATGTCCAGCGGGAACTCTGGACTGTACTGGTAAAATTCATTACTAATGCTCACAAAACTGGGGGAAGAGAACTGCATCCGGGGCCGGAGGGAAGTGCTGAGGCCAATCCCAGGGAGGCCATGCTTTTTGTTCTCATCAGGGAAGAGAGTGATGCTCTTCGTCTCCTCAGTCATGGGGACGATGAACTCATTGTTCATCATGAGCCTGGCCGTGGCATAGGAGCTCAAGTGAATGTCAATCAGCAGGTCATAGTAGCCTGTGCGCAGCAATCCAGGCATGTACTTGTTCTCGATGGCATAGAGCAGCTGAGGCTCGTCCACGTGGCTGCACAGGGCGTGGGCCACCCGGTGGTTCCCAAGAGCACAGACAGCAGAGTACAGCCGCAGAGTGTGGTAGTGAAATTTCAGCAGCTCCTCCTGCTCCGTCAGCTCCAGTATGTCCACAGACCTGAGGGAGGGTGAGAGGAGGGGCAGCACCATTAGGAAATGGGCCACTGAAAGAGAGCCGTTAGGAAAATCAAAGAGCATGGGAACAGACACCATTTTCTTTTAATTTTCTGTGGCATGTTTGGTAGCTGCATAATAGGCTTTTAAAAATCACTTCTCCAAGTTTTCTTCCACCCAGAATTTGACACTGAAAATTGCCAAATGCTACTTCATCTAAGATCTTCCCTGTCTTCCACAACATCCAGGTACTGGGCACCTCTTCTAGGCATATGAGTTTCAACCTACATCTGGAACCTGCCCTTTTCAGAATCTAAGCACTCTCTGGGAAACCGTGAATCTCCTTTTCCAAAAGGCTAACCTGGCACAAGAAGCCAGAAAGCTTTGCCTGGACCATGCTGCCCTCCTCTCAGCACTACCATTAGGCTGTCAGCCTGACCAATCAGATGTAGGTGGACGGCATGCTAAATCCACTGGTATGAACTACCCCCACAGGCATCCCTCACAGACCCACATATCTTCTCAGCTGCCCATGTTTCCACCCAGGTCTGTGTAGCTCATGAAACAAGCACTATGCATGGAGTTTTCTACTTGGCAAAACAAGAGGGCACTTCTAACTTCTACTGGAGTAAGAGTTCACACTGAGTTCTTAATCCAGGTCACTGTGCTTCCACTAAAGCTTATGGCTAGGCTATTCCTTTCAGAACATGTAGCTTCCTTAGATGTAGTAATATGTTCAAAGCTACTTAATTATATAGATTATTCATGGGTGACACTGCAGCATTAAGAGTAGAAATTTGAGGGGCTGGGGTTGTGGCTCAGTGGTAGAGCACTCACCTAGAATGTGTGAGGCACTGGGTTCAATCCTCAGTACTACATAAAAATAAATAAATAAAGGTATTGCGTCCACCTACAACTAAAAATTATATATATATATATATATATATATATATTTTTAAAAAAGTATAGAAATGTGATATAGTCAAAGGAATTTCATTCATCTAGCAGGATGTTTTGAGTACTTCTCTCCATGAAAGCAGGGACTAGTGTGTGCTGTTGACTATTTCTCTAGCACCTTAGATATGCCTGGCACACAGCAGGTGCTAAAGGAAGATCTTCCTGAGCTTTGTCCTGGTGCTAAGGGGCTCCATCAACCTGGCTATGCCTGCTGACACTACCTCTGCATTTCACATCATAGGAGTTCAGTTGAAAGCCTTTAATGGCTTTATGGTGCAGTTCCAGATCCACCTCCCAACTCTTAGAACCAGAGGCTTCATTATTAAAAATCAAAATCAAATGACAACTTGTTCCATGGGACACCTAAGCTACCAGAAAACCACAAAATTCTGGGACCCACAGCTAGTACCTAGTTCTTGGAAAAGAAAAATTGATCAAGCTCCCCAAACCCACCAAGAAATGTAGCCCAGGTGCTGGCTGGCTCTTAAAGTCCTCAGAAGACTGTCCTAGAGCTCAGACTGGCCAATGGTCAAAATTCAGATCTTCTGTTCATCACATCAACCCAGTACAGCTGCACTCCAGATCCTTCCTTGGAGAGCACAGCCGGGTCTACTAATTTCTCTCAAGATCCTTGTTAGAAACAACATATGAACACTACTTGCCCACACCACTGCTTCTATGTCCATTCCATTCATTCTCTCAACCTCATTCCCCTGTTATTCACTTAATGATCCCAGGTTCCAGTCTTTAAAGGAGTTCTCTTCCCTACCTGTCTTTGAAGGCAAGTGCCATATCTGTTTTGTTCATTATTTTATACCCCGTTCCAAGAACATAGCAGGAGTTAATGTCTCATAACTTTACAATATTTTAATCAATGATGTCCAAAGAGCATACTTGGACTAAATTATATGTTTATGAAGTATGACTTAAGCTGGTGTGGCAAAAGAAATAGCACATTATTTTATTTAATGACAATTACAATATATCACTCTGTACTTCTCTAGCACATGCTTAAGATTATATTATTGTCATCTTCTCCTTCTCCTCCTTTTCTACAGCCAGAGTCATCTTGCCAGCCCTATTCTGGGTTTGAGCATAGAACTTGTTTTGGTCAATAAAATGCAAGTAGACCACTTCTGTACAATGTGTCAAAATGCATTTCTACTGTCTTGTATAACTAATTAGAACAAATTTTAAAAAATTTTTTTAAATGCAAGTGGACTTAATATGTGATATGTGAACATAGTATCTACCAAATAGAAACTCTTAAAGGCCTGGAAGATTCTGTGAGTCATTTTGCATATCAATCCTGGGTTGGGGCAGGAAGGCATATGGTCACACCACAGTATATCCCCCCATCTGGAGCAGAGTTGTAGGGGACCTACGATCTGTGCAATATGAGAAAGAGATATGTCGCACATCATTGACATTTTGGGGAGTAGTTTGTTATTGTAGCACAATTCATCTTACTCATTAACAGTCCCCAGTGGAGAAATTCTTTCATATCTTGATATATCATTTACATATTTATCCAGTATCAATGAGTGCATTATGTATTAAGCACTGTACAGAGATGATGTAATGGGGAATAGAACACACAAGACTCTTGCCCACAGGGAACTGACCATCTAGTAAAGGAGGCAAAACTGTCCCCTCCCAAGAGCAAATTAAACTATTAACTGAGACATGTTAAGAAGAAGCAAAATGGGGCTGGGGCTGGGGCTGGGGCTCAGTGGTAGAGCACTTGCCTGGCATGTGTGAAGCCCTGGGTTCAATCCTCAGAACCACATACAAATAAGTAAATAAAGGTCCATCAATGACTAAAAAAAAAAAACCCTAAAAAAATAAGTATTAAAATGGACTTGCATGCCACAGTCCCACACTTTCCAGGAAGTGCCCTGTCACTGGGCCATCAGAGGAAGATTTCTCCCCATCACCAGTTGGTACCTTTCTTCTGGAATGTGAGTTTTGAAATGCATCAGGGTTTTTCTTTGGCTCTAGGAAGCACAAAACCCACAGAGACCTCACCACCAGCCCCAGCGAGTCGTAGTGTGAACCACCATGCAGCAGTCTGCACCAGGTTGGCCATTTTTCTACACTTTTTTTCTCTGCAACTGGATTCCAACTACTCATTTATGCATTCATGTTTCATGTATGTTGGAAAACTACTTCAAATCCTTTATGATCTCTAATAAAAATTTATTCACTTATCACAGGAAATTAATATAAATTATGCATTATTAAGATGGAGGCATGTGGAGAGCAAAGACTTGGATCATGGCCTCTGACTGCCTCATGACTATGTTTGCACTGGGAACATTCTGGGCAAAAGTTCAGGTCAAGATTGCCCAGTTGCTATGGTTATGCCCAGTCTGAGATGGCTCTGTGCAAGGTCACAGAATTATATCAGTCTGGACTTTGAGTGAGGCACCAGGAGAATTCTGAGCATAACAAAATAACCCTAATGTCTCATCAGTGCTGCATCCTTCAGTCAGCCTGCTTTGAAGAACCTTTCCCACAAACAACCTTTTGATGAAAAAAACCTATATAATAAATGTACTGAGATAGCTCTGGGTCACTGTTACTCCATCAAAGGACAGTGCCCCACCTGGTCCCAGCTTTCTCTATGTATGTGTTCATCTTTTCTCAATTCTCCCATCACCCCTTAACAGTTTGTGAATTAACAGTTGCAGCAGAGCAGGCCACAACAGTTGGCACCTGAACACTGGCCAGACACAGGGGAACTTCAGTGATTAGATGAGGGGATGCTTCTGAGGACATATCAAAGAAAGGCGAAGAGCAAGTTTATACCTGGTGTAAACAAAGGCCATGCTGGATTCAAAGAAAGGAATCTCTATGTAAGCAAAAAAGGAAAAAATAATTAAAATGCTCTATGCATAAGGTTTTGCCTCTCAAGCTCAAAACAGCAGCTTTCCTTGCTTCTCAGCTTCTGCCAGATATCTATTTTCTCTCTTTCTCTCTCTCTCTCTCTCTCTCTCTCTCTCTCTCTCTCTCTCTCTCTCTCTCTCCTGGACTTGCATTTAAAAATGTAAATTGCAGTGGCAGTTATTCAAAACTGGCTTGAAAGGAAAAAAAACAAGTCACTTTTGAATTCAAGCTGCTTGTGGGACCTTTAGACTATCTTGTCCGCTCTCACACTCCACCGTCCTTCCTTAACTAGTTCCTCCCTAACACTACAGCACTGGGAGAAAAACAGAATGGTCTCATATATAGAAATATTCTTTTCCTTGAAAAATATTTATGGGGGATTTCAGGACTCTAATCTGAGCCAAAAGTAAACTCTGATCTGATAAAAACTATTAACTACACTTGTCTGATATCCTGCTTTTTATAGTTAGAATAAGTAAATGGGATTTACCTAAATGAGATCAATCTTCAGAAACATGTTAAAGGATACATCTGATTAATTCACAAAGTTAAATTGCCAAATATAAAATCAAGTACTCTTAACTTCTTAAATTCCATAGGTAATATATTTAAACATTAAATGTATTTTAATAAATTGTTAAATGAAAAAAGTTTGAGTTTGCTTTAGTGTCTGTGTCTTCACTAAAATAAGGTTATTAAGAGAAAAGATTCTATTTGGTGTAATTCATATACAAAGTATAATTTAGATATTAAAAAATATTCCATCTTATTAAAGTGGAGAGATATTAAAAATATTCCATCTTATTAAAGTGGAGTAATTTATCTAAACTTGGAAATTTCATAAGGGTTTCAGAATGTAAATTTAAAAAGGGATCAAGAGTTACAAAGGAGATATGAAAAAGTATGAAAATATTTTTTAGTATTTAAAAAGGAGGGTAAGAGATATAAGAAGATTCTAGGTATAGAAATATAAAAAGCAGAAGGAAAAAGTAAATATTTCTATATATACAATGTCTTTAGGTGATAAAAATAAAAAGTTACAGAATTTCCAAGTAAACTGCAGAAGTTTTGTTTAAGTTGCAGGAGGTTTGTGAAGGGTAAATTTTAGAAAGTTTGTAAGTAAATTGGTTATATATAATTAGTACAATCAGTTGAAGTTATCCAAGGCTTTTCCTAAGATAAAATATCAATGTTGATATAAACCAAAGTTTAATTATCTATGAGTTAAAGTAATAAGGATTTCTTAAAACATCAACCTGCTCTTATCTGTCAATACAATTTCTTAGCTCTTGCACCTCCTACTAAAAGAAAAAATTGCTGGTCTCTATATCGTCATCATATTTATTTATTTTATATTGATCTCATTCCAATACTCGTGAGTCCTTGTTTCTGTCATGGAAGTACCCACCTCTCAGATGACTTTACAACCTGTTCTTTCCAAACTAGAATTTTGCATCAGATCCCTCAAGTGTTCAAAACATTCCTAGGGGGGAATCCCAAACTCCTTGGCCTATGTTGCCCCTGCTCAGGCTGAAGCAGCCAGAGTGGTCATTGCCCATTTCTCCTTAGAGCAGTAAGGGTTCCCATACTCAAAGGGAAAAAGAGAACAGGACAAAGGACAGTCAGTTGCAAGCTCATCTGACCCCAGATGTAACACTTCAGAATAGACATATATTGGTTATATTTTAAAAATTTAAAAGGGAGAGATGTGGCGAGCAGTGACTTGGATCATGGCCTCTGACTGCCTTGTGGCTGTGTTTGCACTGGGAATTTCCTGGGCAAAGGTGCAGATCAAGATTACCCAGTTGTTATGGTGATGCCCAGCCTGGACTTTGAGGTCAGGCACCAGCTCCCAGGGATAGAGAATTCTGAGCACACCAAAATAACCTTAATGTCTCACCAGGGCTGCATCCTTCAGTCTGTTTGCTTTGCAAAACCTTTCCCACAAGTAACCTTTGATGATAAAAACCTATACAATAAACATGCTGAGCTTACTCTGGTCACTGTTCTGCCATCAGAGGATGGAGTACCATCTGTTCCAAGCTTTCTCTATGTGTGTGTTCATCTTTTCTCAATCCCTCATTGCTCCTTCCTGGTTTTCCGAATTAATGGCCACCATAGAGTAGGCCATGGCACAGGCATATCTTGAGTTTATGATCATGGCACATTAAAATATTCTATTAGAACATTCAAATTCTCTTAGCAGGGAGAGAATGTGCTTCCCTCATAAAGACATACTCCTTCCCAAATGTTACGTTTCTTTGGATTGTTCAGTGTATTTGTTAGAAACATCTTCAAATGCAAAATTCTGATAAAAAAGTTACCTCACAAAACGTAAGTATGGAATTAAAAATAAAATCTAATCATAACCAAGAATACATTATAAAATATGTATTTTTCTAGTATTTCACAAAGATACATAAACAAATGTAAACAATTCAGTGGCACATTTAATTTTTCTTTGACTTTCTTTTATGTTAAAATGTCTTTGTGAAGCTACAATTTGCATACTGTCCAATTCACTTATATAATGCACATAGGCAGTAGTCTTTACCCATGAATGGAGTCTTGTAGCCACTGCCATAAGTCATACCGAGGACTTCTCAGCACCCAGGGGGAATCCAGAACCCCTCAGCAGCCCTGGTGACCACCAGTCTACTTCCTGTTGCAGAAGAGCTGCCTCTTACGGACCACAGTTTGTGGTCTCTGGTGGTTGACTTCCTGCACTGCATATGTTTGCCAGGTTCTAGTTTGTAGTGTCTATCTGTACTCCAGTCCTCTTTGTGGTCAAGTAATGTGGATAGATTTATCTACTCATCCATTGGTGGACACAGGGGTTGCTCCTGCTTTAACTACTGTGAATGATGATTCTCTGTACGTTCTTGTACTACTTGGGGGACAGGTTTTCATTTGAATACATACTGAGAAACAGAGATGGGGCACCTGATGACTCAGTATTTCATGTTTTGAGGAACTGACAGGTTTAATGCTATTGTTGTTTCTGGTAATGCTGGGATCAAGCCCAGGCGCTCCATGAGTTAGGGGAACACTTCACCACTGAGCTCCACCCCTGGCCACAAAAGTAAATGTTAAAGGACTTAAAATCAAATGGAAATGCCAAGCACATAAAGAGATATAGAAATGGACATAGCTCCTACAACCATTTTTAGATTAAAAATCCAAGAGAACAAGTATATTGGTCTTTATGCTGTTTTCATGCCATGTTTTCAGTCAACTTGTGACTAACTTTTGGAGGGAAATCTTGGTTAAAAGCATATATTTAGATCCTTATTAATAATATGTCTGCTAAAGTGAAATCTATACAATTAACTCACAATCATATGGAAAAACTGAAAATCATAAATGAAGCTACGTTTGAGTTTTTGTTATGTTTTGTCATTACTAATCCTGTCTAGAACACACATAAATTGATCTGAAAGGGCTCACAACACTGTCACACCTTTCTTTCATCAAGGACTCTGGGCTCTTCACATCTATAAACTGAAGAGCTGAACTAAGTGATTCCTGATTCCACCTTCAATCTCTCACAACTCTGATCTCACCACTCTGCTAAGTCCTGAGTCACATTGCAGGTGCACCTGTCTGAAATGCAGATGACAATACTGCTATGTCGTCTCAAGGTAAAAGAAAAGGGAAGGACAGAGCCTGACACTAACAGTCGCATTTGGAACTGAAGTATCATTTTTTATATATAGCAAAGTGAGCAGGAAACAGAATTAAACCTGGAACATACAGAATCATAATTTCAATGCCAACCAGACTTTTCAAACCTCAGTCTGTTCCTTGGTGCCATCTCTGAACCCTGGGCCCAAGTCTGATTGCAGCATCCCAATAGGACAGTGAAGGATGTGCAGGGCTGACCTGTTCTCCTCGGGGATGTGGAGAGACATAAACTGCAGAGGATCCAGACACTGCACCAGCCAGCCTTGGCGCTCGCTTATCCGTGAGACGTCCACCTTCAAAAACTGGTTGGGCATCCTGCTCCACAGGACATGTGACAGAAACTGCACATGGAGACGTGGTGGGCACTGGGGCACGGGGTTCTTGTGCTCACTCTTGAACAATCCCGCAGAGAGAGGCATCACGTTCTAGGGGATGGGGAAGCAGAGAGGGGTAGATTTACAATATCCCTTAGAGCTGCCAAAGCAATGGCTTCTCACCCTCTGTCCCCCATCATACTCTCCACCTTAACCCACTCCCTCTTATACTACATACCAGTGACAGCCCAACAGATAAACCCGGCTATCAACCAAGAAAATGGAATTAATTTGGTATTAAACAAGACAATTTATTTCTCATCTACCTCCAAAAATGCAGCTTTGGCCAGTCTTAGGAAAAGAAAAGTCTTGCCTTTTCTCAAAGGTCATTTCTCTACTTAGATCCTGACACATCCCTGCTTTCCTCTTCTGGGACTACATGCAAATATGGACCTTCCATCTCTGTATGACTTTCCACCTATTCCTCTCTGGAGAGCTCCCACCACATGCTGGAGGTGCCTTGTCTTTAAAGTCCTTTCCTATTTCCTGTTTTGGGTACTAAGAACATTCCAATGAACACAATAAATAAAACCTCCACCCTCATACAGCTTTATTTTTGTTTTTTATCTTGTAGCAGTGAAGTCAAACCTAGGGCCTTGCATTAGCTCAGCGAGTGCTTTACCACTGAGCTACATTGCCCAGGCCCAACTTCCATTTTTCTTGGAGATATAAAATTTTTGAAAAAATCAATAAATTAAGTAGTATGTTAGAAAAGATATCATGGCATGGGGGTGGGAAGCAAACCAGAATAGAGAAATCAGAACATAGGACAGCAATTATAAACCATTGGTCATCAGAGAAGGTGACATTAAAAGAAAGACCAAACAGAGAAGGAACATGTAGGTATATGAGGCAGAAATTTCCATGCAGAGGAAATATGCAGGGCAAAGAACCTGCAGAGGAAGTTTAAGGAGGAGCTTGGGGCCACCGTGCTAGGGCACAGGAAAGGGAGTCAGAGAGGCAATGTACGTCAGGTCTCTTCAGGGACTCCACATCTAGGTTTCATTCTCAAGGAACCAGGGCTTCCGGGGCTCTTGGCAGTACACTGATCTGACCTGACTTGTGTTTTTAAGCAGTGAGAGTCACTCAGTTGCATGGCAAGCAGATGGGCAAAGGTGAATTAGAAACCCATCTAGAAACAACCGGAGTCAACTAGATGAGAAATGACATCACAGACGTCAGAAAAGGTGACCAGCAGAAGGAATGGTGTGGGAGGTCAGCAGGTAGAGGATCTACCTGGGCTGGACCTGGGATGCAGAAATATAGGAGGGAAGTCCAGGATGACTCCAGGTTTGAGGCCCAAGCAACTGGATTTGTTATTACCCAACATGGGGAAGAGGGAAAGTCAGGCAGGGTGGGGAGAACATTGATACTGAGTCCAGTGAGGACATGGTCAGCTGAAGATGTCAATTAGACATCCAGATGGAAATACCAAATGGACAACTCAAAATACCAATCAGAGTCCTCAGAAACAGCTACTGATTGACAAATTTTCTATAATTATAACAGGCATCAACTTGCTGCTCCTTCCTTTCACCTTTGATCTCGAATTCAAGGTAACACAAGCTTCTCTCATCATGTCCCTGAAGTTCTTCCGGAGAGGTCATTAGAACCTGCCTGGTTCAATAAAGGCTACGGATTCCTTTAGTCTACCTTGCTATGGCATCTGTATCTGAGATTGTGGCCACTCCAATTCTGAAAACCCTCTCTTCGCATGGCTTCTATGAGCTATTTCCTTTACTTCTCTTCCTACACTCCCAGCTGTGTGTCTTCAGCCTCTTGGTTGGTAACACCAGTGTCTCTACCCAGTCACCTTCTCACTCTCTACATTCACCCTCAGGGAATTCACTTACTTGAAAAGATGAATTCCGCCTGACTTAATATTACTAAAAGCTCGATCTCCAGCCTAGCTCTCTTTCTTGGGGCACAACTGTATATAGGTGTATGTGTACATTTGTATTAAACATATGTATTTTATAAAAATTTATTGAGAAGATGCTATGTATCAGCCTCAGTTTAAGACTTTTAGTTATTTTAACCCTATAAAACAGATACCATAAGACCTATTTTAGAGAGGTAGAGAATGTGCTCATAGTTTAAGAATGTCCCAGGTCATTGAGCAGGACTGGAAAAACTATACTGCATTCACCCCAATGTGTACTTGACACCTCAATTTTAAAATTGCAAAATTAATTTCAACTTCTTTTTGTGATTTTCAATAAGCTTTTCCTATGTGTAGCATCAGTATCCACAAATTGTCCAAACTAAAAAAAATTTGAACAAATCCTGATTCTAGTACTTCATTCCAATTGACAAATCCTATCAATTCCAATTCACTGTCAATCCCATCAATTTCTCCTATAAAACAGTTCATTTATCACTTCCTCCCCATTTGACTTTCCCAAATCTCATTAACTATAATCGTCAACACCTACCTGCAGCTGCCAGATCCCCGCTCCATGGTACTACTAACTCACTTTCCAAAACAAGTCTCATTACACTCAAATCTCCAATAACTGCTCCTCTACGAGGTGCCAGTGTCTTAGCATGGCCTTCAAGGCCTTTCAATCTGGACTTGGTCAGCAATGTCCAGCCACTTCCAGAAGTCATTCCCAGTTATAATCACACTGAACTCCTAACTTTCAACCCTTCTACTCTTACATACATTCTCTCCCTAAGAAAGCCCTCTCCTGGCCAACATAATCAGAGCACCAATTAAATTGGCAGTTGGTGATCAACCAGCAGGTCACCTCTTCCTTCTGACAGACCAGCTTTAGCTGTGCCTCCAGCAACATCTCCAGAGGACTCTGCTCATGCCATCATTCTAAGCAGCCCCACTTGAAGTATCCACCTCTGTAAATAAGCCCACCAGTGAGTCCAGTGATCACTGTATTGTCTGGAATTGGGCACTTTTCTTGTATCTAAGTCTAGTGTTATTGAATAATATATTTAAGATAATCAAAGATAAGCTCTTTTGAATTATGTTACAAACATGGCTATCTTTGCTTCAGAGAGTGACTGGCTTGATCCACATCAGCACTGAAAATACAGTGAATTCATCTGAAGTACATGTTAGACCCCACAGAAATGACACAAATGCAATACTAGGCAACAGCCTCCCTTACCTTAATTCTTCCCAGTTCAAACTGGAACACATTGGGGCTCGTAGCTTGTGCGAACACTGCAGGAAACAGCTTTGTGCTTGGCTCCACCTTCAACAAACACACAGATGAAGTGTGATTAATAAAGAAAGAAGACAGAAGGCATCTTCTTCCTAAAAACAAGGGAATTCTCCTCTCTCCTGTGAGTATCTTCTCTCAATAATTAGTGGGAGTACTTCCTTATGCCTGAATATTTTCAGAGGAATGAATGGCTTAGGCATTGTTGATATTCAACAGAAGTAAACACACATTATTAACCCATTTGTTTCCATTTTCCTCTTAATTTCTAATTTATCTTTTGATATCACAATATGTTTCTCTTTACGGTGAGAACACCTCTTCCTACCTCAAGCATGAGGCCGTCACAGATCAAGTACCTGATAGTATGTGCTCAGCTCCTTGCCGTTGGCAATGAACGTGAGCAGCCCCGTGGCGGCGTCTACCACACAGCCGATCTCTAGCCCGTTGTTGTTGCGTCCTTGGCCGGGGCTCATGCTCTCTCCTGCACACACCATATAGCAGTTGCTGCGTTTGATACTGGATTGCAAAAAAAAAAAAAAAAAGAGAGAGAACATTTTTATCTTTGTCTGATTGCAGATATAAGAAAAAGCATGTACATCTTGCAAACTAAACCTAAATTATGCGGCGCAAGCAACAAGCTCATGCTGTAATGGGAGAGGTGCAGAATGGGCCGGATTCTGTGATTCTGAGCAAAACTCCATTGACTGCGGTGGACGTTCTGAGCCAGGGCTGACACGCCTCTAAATTCCACACCTAATGGAGACAAGTCAACGAGTTTGAACCAAATAAGAACTGACCTGCACCTTCTCTCCGAAAACTCAAACCAAACTGGACCTTTTTCTGAGGTTCAAAAAAGCTCAACTATTTAATCATCATCAAAATTTGTAATTTTCATCTCTTTTTTTAACTGCTCATTCTGCGATGAGAAACGTTCATTTCCAAACACCATCAAAGCCCTTAGGCAAATTCTGCATGAGCAATTGTGATTCAAAAGTCTTTAAAATTTGGCTAAAATTATGCCCCTTTATGAATAATTCCTGGTGATCTGTTATGAGAGAGGAAGTTAACTAGAATTATGCACAAAATCAGAGATGTTAACAGCAAAACCACCTGATTTTGACCTCCACCAAAACCTTTATTGGAGATGGTACAAAGTTCAGTGCCCTGAGCTTCATCTCCACTCCTCCTCCGGCACTGTAGATGAGCACAGTAGCAAGACTAGCCAAGGCAGGCAAGCAGGAGGGGAGAACACACAGGCTGGGATGAGGCCAGTTTTGGACAATCAAATTCAGGCTGCGTCCCTTTGCACTCAGTACTTAAGATTCAACGACCCTTCCCTGTCCTCTGTTCCCTACACCAAAATCTTCTGTCAGTTCACCCATCCAGCTGTTTCTTTACACTGTTGCCATCTTTTAAAATCAAATTCAAGGCTAAAAATACTCAATGTGGGGTTTGGGGTCCCCTCTGGATACAAAATACTCCTCATCTAGGATTTTTTGCTCAGCCCCCATCTCGAGTGCTCAGTCACTTCACATGTGACAACCTGAGGGTAGGACAGCGAGTTTCCCAGTCACCGAGAAGGATGGCGCAGGTGTAGAAGGAAAGCAACGCCATGGAGGACTCAGCTGAGACCTGTCACAGCAGATCAGAGAGGATGCATGGGCACAAAGGGGAGAAGCGAATGGTCAGATCTTCTCTTGTCTTATTCTGCAAGGAAGATAGCCTTCTTCACTTTTTTGAAGGTTTGGTTTGAGTTTGATTTGTTTTACAAATGAAAAAGGATGAAAGTGTAACTGACTTACCCAAAGCCACACAGCGAGTCAAAGGCAAAGCTGAGGAAAGAACCCACTGCTCCTCAGTCTGAGTTCAAACACACCCACCTGGCTTCAACTACCAACCCACACTGCCGCCACAACTCTTCCCACCACACATCCACTTCCCAAAATACTTATCAGACATGCCAAATACCTCACGGTCACCCTCCTGCGTCTAAAACAAAGCCTAAGTCCTGGCAACCCCGGTTATGAGTGTTGCTGCCTAAGGAACACAGAGGTATTGCCCATTCTTATGGACGCTCTTTGCTTTTAATAGAGTCCTTGTTGGTTTATAGAAGTAACAAAAAGGACATGGGCATTAATGGCTTGATTATACTGTTCCTAGAGATATATCCTGGGCACAAAATCCAAGAAACAAAAATATCTAGATTTACCAATTTTTTTTTCAGATGCCATTTATGTTTTTTAAAAAAAAAACACTGAGGAAAACCAACCTTTCATGCACTTTTCCTTTTTCATCTCCTAGAGTGACTGTCACTGTGCGAACTCTGTCCAAGTCAAAGCCTGTATCGTACTGGTGGAAATCCGATGTGATCCAGCCCACCCAGACGTTAGCAGGTTCTTGTCCGGGAAAGATTCTCACTGAGTAATAGTACTGCCGAGACAGAAAGACCAGGTGTTGGACAGCCAAGCAGAGCAACTGTATCTTGATTCACACTGATAGTGGCTGTCTAACTCTTTATAGTACCCAAGAACATACTTCTTTGTTTAAAGTCAGTTGGCCAGATTAAAATGTTTTAGGCATGAAAGACGGACACTGACAAGTCAGAAATGTTTTATACCAGAGATCCAGAATTAACTCAGAAATAGTGGAAAAGAGAGAAGAGATTATCTGAGCAAATATGCTGAATGAGTGGAGGTTTTTACACACTCCCAAGTGTGCATGCATGTCTGCATGTGTACATACACACATATGCGTATGCACATTCGGTATATGTATGCAACAACAGCATCCATCTTCCTATGCAGCAACACTCACCTATGCCTCTTTGAGGCCAGGCCACCCCTATCTCTGATAAGTATATTCTGACACTTTACAATCACTCTGAAGAAATTCAGATCTAACATGTGAACATCAAGCTCAAATGTGGGCGCACTCTACAACAGACAGGGCTGTTTTTTCCTGTCTGGCAATTTGGGGAGAGTACTTTTGAAAATTTAACGTGGCAGAGAGCAAAACCTGAGCTCTCACAGAACAGGACAAATGATTTAGGGTGAAAGAAACTATATGCACTTAGAAAAGTCAAGTGGCAAATTGAAATTTCATCAAGAAACAGGACAGCAAAATCTGGGTTTTGGGTGTCATTAAGGACTTTTTCCCTAAAATAGCTCTCTTATTGCATAATATACATCACAACATATAAATTTTTTTTTCAAATTTTCCTTCCCTGAAATATATCTAAAAATACAAACAAATCATTAAAGCATGTTGCTGGATACACTGAGTCCAAGTACAGGAGCCAAGACGCAGAGTCAGCAACAGCAGCTGCCACCGCCTACCGTGGAAGTCTGCATCAGGAAGTCATAGTCGTCCCTGTCATCAGCAAGGACATCTTCTGTCAGCCTTGCGGAGTGGCTGGTGCTGTAATCTGGCTTTGTTCTTCTAAGCAAAAATCTAAAAGATAGGAAAGAATCAGGAATAAAGAACAATAAAATGCTCTGCCTACATCAAATGTGAGCCTACAACCCACGCCTGCGTGGTCCTCAACCAGGGCAGCTGTGCTCCCTGGGGGGCTTTGGGGACCATGTGGAGATACTCTTGGTTGTGGTTAGAGGAGGATGGAGTGCCACTGGCATCTTCACGGGTGCTCCTCAGTGCCCTTTAATGCCCAGCGCAAGCCCCTACAACCAGGAATGACCCCACAAAAGTAAACAAGACTGGGGTGGAGAAACCCTGATTTAGCCCAGGAAAGAATGCTAAAACAATTCATCTTTCTGACCACAGAAAAAACTATTTAGGAGAACATTCTAAGTTTCAAGCAAAAATGTAGAAACAGACTCTAAAAGTAACTCTTAGAGTAGATTACATCTGCTCTAACAGAACACTGAGTTGATTTATCTACCCCTGCAAAAATCTTTCACAACAAGGAGGAGGAGGAGGAACAAATTAATACTAGAAAGCCCTTTTCCCTTTGTTATAATTCTCCCCACAGCATAACTGCGTGCTTAGAGTCCTATCACGTCCGCTAACCACCTCTGTTTCAGACGAGAGGGCTTCTCCTGAGCGTAGTCCTTGTGGTTATTAAACTCCGGCTTTGTAGCTTCTTTATCTTTGTCACCCCGGTCAGAAACCAGATGGCCATGAGCTGTCTTCATCAGAACCTCAAAGTCAGAATCATCATAGTCCTCCAACTCATTCTTGGGCCCAAAGAGGCCAGCACCCGGGAGCCCCCCAGCCACAGTCTTGGAGAAGACCTCGGCGCACTCGATGGGCATGCTCAGGCGGTAAAACATGATGTCAGTGCTGCTGTTCTGGGAGCCAAAGGACTTCTGAGTGACCTTGAGACACGGGGAGCTGTCTATGGTGCCATCTATTCTGGTTACCTATGAAGAAGAAGCAGTAGTTCACGTTCTACTTCCCCCACCACCCAGTATTCATTTCCTGGTCCCCAAAAGGACTAATCCATATCATGTTTTGAGAATCCACAGTACAACCCACATGTGGCATCATTTAGTAAGAGATGAGGGAACACAGGACACTACACTGTGAAAGCACAGTCCACCCTGACTATCTGCAGGTCCCACTGATGATGGAAAATATGCAGAAAAAACTGCAACTGTATTGAGTATAGTTAGGCCATTTTTCTTGTTGTGGTGCCCTGAACAACAGAGTATGACAACTACTTACACACTATCAGATATTAGAAGCAACTCAGAGATGATTTCATCTATATGGAAGGATGTGCATGAGCAAATACTATGCTGTTTTATCAAAAGAACTTGAGCATCTTCAGATTTGGGTAACTTAAAGAGATCCTGGAACCAACTCCTTGCAGATACAAGAGTCAATGCTCTCTCTGAGTCCCATTTGTAACTCTAAAGATGTCTTGAAAAATTCATGGCACGAGGTGCTCACTCAAATCTGGACCAACACTCCCTACATATAGAATATAGGCATATAGGCATCATACATCAGCCTAATAAGGTACTGGTCCAGTATCCAACATGAGAGGCTGAACCACTACTTAGATCCACTACTATGAAACACACTAGGGTCACCATTTTAGGTCAGTTACAATAATTTTCTGAGTAGCAACAGTTACATGTAAAGACAGTTCTATTCTTGGTTTTTGGAAATGGTCTAATTCATAAAGAAAAAGCAAACCTCAATATGTTCATGGTTTGATGGAACCTGGAGAAACTGAGGGAGCCTCTTGCTCAGCCACATGGTAATGTCTCTGTTTGTATTAACAGCAAACGGTTCGTAGCCCTCTTGTAAGCCACAAATGGTGAAGTACTTCAAGGTGCTGACATCCTTTCCGAAGTTCATCCTGCCCACTTGAGCCACCCCAAGGCTACACACTGGGATGAATCCTGAGGGGAAAAAATAAAATCTTCAGTCTTCTTAGTAGGAAATCTTGTTGGTACAGAATTGACAGACTGCTCAGGACTCCTAGCTCTGCCGCCACCCTACGGAGAAAACAACAACGTTGATACGAGAAATCTGACATGAAATCCTAGAGCATCCAATTGCAAAAGCAGGTCCACACCCAACAGCCTCCTGGCTCAGCAGTGCAGATCACTCTCTGCAGGCAAGTGAGGGAGGACTCAGGGCTGAGGAGGGTGTGGGTCCTGTTGTCTTGCTCCTCTGTCTGGCTATGGAGTGTGACATGTCCAAACACAGGACACAGTCACACCACAGACCTTGTCACATTTCACTTGAGGAAGGGTATTTGCATCCACTGAAGGCTCACTTGGGATCCCTTTGACCCACAGCAGCAATGATCAATGGGTAAACCAACCACACATCCCACCAGCTGATTTACTGCATGGCAGAGAGTGCGAATCCTTCCACTACTCAACAAAAAGGGTAACTATCAACTCTGCTAATTGTTTGGGTTCTTTGGGATTGACTGTCAAGGGGGAGATGTGATAATTTTTGACAAAAATATAAGATGAGGGCTATTTTATGTACTTTTTTTTGAGGGCCATTTTATGTACTTTTCATTTCTTTCCAAGTTGTTTTACATGGATGTTCAAATAGCATAATAAACTACATTTGGAACAGAGTCTTCAAATTAGATCATCCAACTTATATATTTAAATCTAATTTAGACTTCAGAAAATTATAGCTAGTGTAATTCAGATTAGATACTTTAAACTTGTAGATCAAAAATTTGTGTCTCCTAAGAATAAAACCAACAGTATTGACAAGAATTAAGGTTTCTTCTACCATCACAATCTACATTTCTGCCCTTGTTCAAATTAGCAGCAGTGAAAGCAATCCCTCACCCCCAACAGAGATGATGGAAACTCTGCCCAGTGATTCACAAAGACTTCACCAGGTTTGTTTCCATCAATATGTGCTCAAAGAGATGACCACATAATGGGGGCACCAATCAGGAGGAAGCAATGTGCCCAGCTGCATCCCAAGAAGTGTGAGCTAGTTAGAGTGGAAGAGGCAGCAGCTGTGTCTGCAGATGTGCCAGCACGTGACTGGGATCAGGAAAGTCCTTTCACATAAGCATGTGCCAGGCACAGAGAAAGGGACTGGGTAACTACAGTAGATGGAGACAATTTGAACTGCATGAGCATGGACCAGCAAATCCAACCACCATCTGGCATAACTCAGGGACACCAGGGTGGAAACGCCTCCTCTCTGTCGATGCCTACTTCTGATCCTTGTTATCTACAGAAGGAACTCCTAGTCAGTAAAGCGGGGTTATGGGACAGCTGTACATGTACAATACTTTCATTTTCTAAAAACTCAGTGACTAGTGATATGCACAAAGATTTATGTCACTTAGCTATGTTTAAATTTTAGAATATTCTCATAAATATATAAGTTTTCATTAGAGTATTATTTAGCTTTTGAGAATTCAGTCTCCAAAGATTCATTAATACATAGGAAAATGTCTACAGTATTATTCACAGAAACACATAACATGGCTTATTTTTAGATGATAAAAATCCCTTTGGTGTTTTCCTAAGTTTCTGAGTGGCAGGATTTTTAAAACTTTTTGTACTCATTTTTGTGTCCCTGAGTGTAAGAGACTTTCCTCAGTGAACATATTATGAAGACAAGTGACAGGTTCATTAAAGTGCTTTATGTAGTTAAACAGGACATAACTACATGGTTCCCACAAAGAAACGTGGTGCAGATGTAAAATGACCCAGACCTTGACACCCTCCTCAAGCCCCGACGCTCAGCACCAGAGTGTGGTGAGGCTAGCATCAGAAACGCCGCTTATCACATGAAACTAGAAGCAGATTTAAGTAGGACACTTTGTTAATATGAATTAAGAAACTTTCGACCATTCAGTTCTTTATTTGATAAGTACTTATTGAGTAGTTTCCATATACCAGAAACTAGGAATAATGAAAAATAAAAGAGGAAGAAATAGAACACAGAATGTAAAATAAATAAATAAATACTTAAGTAAATAAAATCTTAAAAAGAATATATTACTGGAACTAAACAAGGTGGCTAACACAGATCCCAGCCAAAAGACGCTCACAGTCTGAAGAGGGCCAGGTGGTCTGTTGCAAAAGCAGCCATTGACAGTAAGTAAACAAATGAACATGGCTGTGCTTCAGTAAAATTTTGTTTACAAAAGCAAGTGACAGGCTGGATTTGGCCCTCGGCCTTAGTCTGCCATCCCCTGGTCCATGTTAAAATCAGCATACTATAGTGACATGGACAGATCAACATTTACAGCAGCTCAATTCACAATAGCTAAGCTATGGAATCAATCTAGGTGCCCTTCAACAGATGAATGGATAAAGAAAATGTGATATATATATATATATATATATATATATATATATATATATATATACACACACACACACACACAAAAGAATATTACTCAGTCATACAGAAGAATGAAATTATGGAACTTGCTGGTAAGTGGATGGACTTGGAGACAATCATGCTAAGTGAAATAAGCCAATTCCAAAAAATCAAAGGCTAAATGTTCTCTCTGATATGTGAATGCTAACAAACTGTAAATGGGGTGGTGGAGAGGGAAGAATAAAAGTTCATTTGATGAGACAAAAGGGAATGAAGGAAAGGGAGGAGGATGAGAATAGGAAAGACAGTAGAATGAATTGAACAGAGCTTTCCTATGTTCATATAGGAAACTGGTTCATACCTGACCACTATAATTCCACATCATGTACAACCACAAGAATGGGAAGTTATACTCCATGTATGTATAATATGTCAAAATACACTCTACTGTCACGTATATCTAAAAAGAACAAATTGTGGGGGTTTTTTTGTTGTTGTTGTTAAAAAAAGGAAGGTAAAACTGGCCAATATTTTATTAAATATAAACCTGAATGTTTTTTCATCAGAAGAAAAGCAAAAGGTCAAACTTATGGTTTACTATGTGCCAGGTTATGTATAAACACTTTCCCATACATTATTTAATATTAACCCAATTTTTTTAGGTGAGGAAACAACTAAGATGTTAAATAATGTGCCTAGGGACCCCCTGCTAATTAAAAGGATGACAAGTTTGAAGCAAGAATATAAGAGGATAGGTAAAATAAACATTTTTCTTAGATTTCTGGGCTCTTTAGAACTTAACAGGCATAAAGACATTATCTCCAATTACTGATTTTATTTTTAGGAAATGAGAACAGAGAGATTATTTACCCAAGGCCATATATTCTTCCTCCCATTGGCAAATGCTAATTTTTAACTTGGAACACTCCAAGTTATTTTCCCAGGTCTATATCATAATAGCTGGCAGCACAGATTGATGATCCATCAAATTCGGCCATTAAGAGGAGCAAGTGAGTGTGGAAGATAGTACGATTCTTTTAGCCTATACTCATACCATGTCAGAAACACTCTTCTGAATAAGCCACACAGATCCATCAAGCTGTCTAACTGCTCTACTATTTCAACTAAGGACACAGAGAACAAGGCTAATAGAGTTTTATATCAAAAAAGCAGCATGATAAAATGAATAATGAAAAGGTCTCCCTACCTCTTTTTCATTAGCTGTCTCTTCTGTCCACAGCTGTGTAGTTGTTTTAATTACAAAAATATTCTTCTATTTTTCTTCCATGGAAAGAAATCCCATGAGACTCACAAAACCAGTAATTCTGTTTTTGCTTACTGTCTTTTCAAGTGGTAGGTACAGAATCAGAAGTGTCATTACTGGGTTTTACCAAATCATTATGAGTGTGGAATCTGTGGAATCTGAGGGTCCCGAAATAGATTTTGCTTACAGAGAGCAGACACCATGAAAAGGTCTTCAGAGTTAATAAAGTGTTAATACACCATGAGATAAATAGGTGCCCAGAAAATATTTTCTAAAATGTAGGTAATCTTCAGGCCTAAGTGACTATTCTGTCACTCTGCACAATACGGAAAGGTTTTAGATGACCCCCTTGTCTTAAATTAAGGATATGATCAAATCTACAAACTAGTAACATGTAGCAGTGTCCGTAAGAGTATACCGAGAACAGATTAGAGGGGGAGGTGAGTGGAGATGGGGTGACATAGTAGACTGTTAGGGCTGTCACAAAGATTCACAGAGTAGGTGGCTTAAACAAAACTTGTTTTCTCACATTCTGGAGGTTGGAAGTCCAAGATCAAGATGTCAGCATGCCTATCATGAGGCCCCTCTCCTCTGTGTGCAGAAGGCAGCCTTCTGGCTGAGTTCTTACATGGCCTTTTACATGGGAGCATGCATCCCTGGTGGCTCCTTGTCTTCTTACAAGAGCAGGAAGGTTGGGATTAGGGCATCCCTCTATGGCTTCATATTACCATAATTATATCTCTAAAGTGCTTATCTCCAAACACAAGCATATCGAAGGTTGGGGCTTCAACCTACGCATCTGGGGACAGGCGAGTCTACAGCAGGTGCCATGGAGACATGGCTAGAATTCAGGCTGCTGTGCTCTCCAGCAGACACGTCGCCTCCCAAGCCATGAGCCCAGACAACCCTGCACAGTTCCTAGATCATGAATTCTACTTTGTGTGGAATTTCATTAAATACTCCTGCAAAGTATTTCTTCCTCTTTTTAGAAATGTAAGAGCAGTAGGGACTCCACCTCTCCAGGAAGGCGAGTGCCATCAGAGCCAGGCATGCTGTTATCTCACAGTAGTAAGCAGCAGTTTATTCTCCATAAGCCCTTCCTTCAGAAAGCGTGGCAAGCACAAGTCTTAGGGAAAATCGAGTACCTCAATCTTCTGATGTCAATATGGTTGGTACATGGGAGGTCACCTGCATGTTCTTCTATTATTTCCTTAACTTTACTATATTCTTTTTAGCTTATTTTGACTGGTTTTGGTGTGCTTTTCTCATATTGAAATTTAAATTACATATTTATTGGGTGTAATTTTTATATTTCCTGAGGGAATCTGAAGTTCATACAACATGACAGTGAAGTGGAGCTTCAGTAGAGCAAGTAAAAAACTGAAGAACTAAAGGCAGTACTCTAGGTTAGAGAAAACACTGCTCGGTATTGACATAATTGAAAGGTATATAATATTGCTTCAGTAAAAAATGAGGTTTGATTTCTAAGGCACTCAGAACTGGACACATATAATTTCCTATTGAAAATATAGCTTTTGACCCATGGAAATTTTTCTTATTAATGTACTCTAAGAATAAATTATCTTCAGATAGCAGGGGAAAGGTCATAAAATAAAGCTAACATATAATTTTGTCATCGGCTGGTAATTAGTACTCAAGTTATGATTTTTTTCTCCTTTGTTGAGCAGGCTGGATCATGTGTGAACACAAGACTCCCTTCTGTTTCCACAGAGACCTAGAGAAAAAGCCACTGGTTAGGCTTCTTAGCTTTTCTCAGAGCTGAGATCTAATCCTTAGCCCTCGAGACTTGACCTTCCTTGACTCCTGGCCCTGTCCCCCAAATATCATTCATTCATTCTCTCCCTCCCTCACACCCATACACTGAGCTATGAGAACTCCTGGGACTACAATGTCCCTGCCCAGATCACACAGGCTAGCCTCCCCCTCTCAAGATCACCATCGGAATCGAATCAGCAAAATTCTTACCATGTAAAGCAGTACATTCACAGATTTCACAAATATGCCATGGACATCTTGGGGGCCATTTAGCTGACCACAGTAATCTTTTTTAAATATTCATATTATCATAGCACTGTGATTTATATGGACCTACCTGTTCTCCTGAGGGTTGCATTTGGTTATTTCCTGGTTTTGGCTGTGCGAATGGTGCTCCTATGAAGAGTCTAGTTTTTGCCTCTGTGCTGAGACACACATCACTGAGCAGCTGGAGTAGAACTGCTGGGTCATGAGTATGTGAATATTTGGTTTTTACAGATACTGTCAAACTGCTTTGCAAAGTGAAAGCACCCATCTGCACTCCCAAGAACAATACTAGGTATTCTCAAGCTTTGCAAACAATAACCAGTAGAATGCAAAACAGTATCTAATTATGGATTTAAACACACATCTTCTTAAATCTTTATTGCCCACATTTTTTCTTTAAAATACCTGTTCATGTCTTTTGTACAGTTTTTCCTACTGATTTCATAATGGTCTCTGACTCATGATTTAAATCATTTTTTTTAAACTTTGGAATAGTGCAAACATCATGTATGTTCAGTAGAGACCATACTTTGAATTTCAAATTCTGATCTTCCCCAGGCTAGTGATGTGTAGGACCACACTCTCCTGCAACCTTGCAACCTGGGCAGTGAAAGAAGCTGCAGTTCTGTCATTGTGTGATCATGGGGAAAGACAACTTGTACCTTACCAGGCAGTGTTCCTAAGTAGGACTCAGATTCATGTATTAAGTGCACTTTCAACTTAGGATATTTTCTCTAATAATGTGCTTAATAGGACATTATTCCATTGTAAGCTGAAAAACATCTGCACTAACATTTTTCTTTTTGAGTCTCACACATTAAGAATAGATTCCCCCAAGTATTTCCCCACTTCCACTGAGGTTTTTTGTTGTTGTTGTTGTTGTTTGTTTGTTTGTTTTTGTTTTTGTTTTTGATGAGCACCCTCAACTTCTTACAGACAAGTTTATGTCACTCTTTCATAACCAGTGGTTTTACTTTTAAGAAAAAAAAATAGTTTCTCACTCCATACCCTAAAGTTTTGCCTAGATTTTCTACTGCTAGTTTTGGAATTTATTCTTGACATTTAAAAATCCCAGCTTGGGGTTGGTTATCATCCATGTTGTGAGGAAGTGATCAAATTTCCTCTCTGCCATACAGATCACCATCTTATCATAGTACTCCTTTCCATAGCACCCTAATAAGCTACCTTGGCATGTGCTGAGGCTGGTACTTTTCTTACATCTCCACTGAATGACAAGGGTTAAACTGTTTCCCTACAGCAATATCACTCTGTCTCAATGCCTGCTGCTTCACAACACATTCTGGTATCTGATAAGACATACATCCCCTTTCATCATCACCAAAGCATCATGAATAACTTCATAGCTCAATATTAGATGAATATCCTGAATCTCTCCGAGTTCTTTACTCCAGTCAACATGATAAAAAATCACCTCCAATAGAGTCTTAAGGAAGATATAAATAAAGGGATGCTTCATATAAAAATCATTACCTTAATCTCAAAACTCGATATGGAACAATATCTGGTTTTGGTAAAATTATTAAACTATGGATGCATCAGGAGAGCAACTTCCAGGTTCTTGCTATGCAGCAGGTATCATAGCATGATTGGCTATTAGACCTTTGTGGGTATTAAGAATGTGATCAGGTGACAAAACTTATAAGAATGACTCTTGATTAGCTGACTGCATATGGATTGAGAGAATTATACATACATTTAAAAAGAATTTTGTTAAAGATAAATCCTTGATGCTTTCCCTGATCAACAGATGCTTTATTGTCTCCTCCTGAATCTAACTGCATGACCACATCAGTCTTTTAAAGACTTTTTGTAATTTTTCTTTTTGATCTCGGACTAACAACTTATACTAGACAGGGTACCATTTCAGTCATATAAACTACATAAAAGACACAGTTGACAAAATATGCTCAGTTATGTTATCTACTAAGCTGAGCAGGTGAAGATCTTTTGTGTCTATATGAATATGGATATGTGTATACATATACATACCCAGGCATACCTGTATGCATGTAAGTTTTCCATATGTATCCATCCTACCACAAGGTGACTAAGATTGCTTTAATAGCCAGTGTGTATTTGCTCAACTGATTATCTCTGTAGCCATAAGAAGGAACCAAGAAGATGGCAGAAAATATCAAATCAAGTCTAGCACAGTCATAAAGATATGCCAGGTTTAAGAACAACTTGAAAAATTTATGCAAAATTTTAGGACTATAGTAATAACAGCATATTACTTGGCTAAAAAAAAAACTCTGTTGCCATAAATTAGCAGTTTGATAAACTTGGTCCTTCACACTTGAAGGGCTTGAGAACTTTCTCTCAGTAGTGGCAGGCAAATAAAGAAACTGTACGTAGGAATTTGTGTCAAGTTAATTTAAGAGTGAGACGATGAGAGATACCACTGTCAAAAAGCACAGGAAAGTCTCAGGCATAGATAAACTCTGACTCCTTGGAGACCACTAGAATGCTTCCCAAAAGCCTCCAACAAAAGTCCAACAATACTGACTAGTAATTTTTCAGATAGTTCATCAGAATTCTACATTAGCTTTATGACACAGGTATCAATATAAAGTTAAAGTCATTCTTTAAATTTTAAAAATTCTATGAAGTCTAAAGTCAAAAAACAAAGTTATTTACACAAATGTGGTGCTCAAACTCACTTCAGAGCCTATTTCAAGACTGCAGTGGTTCTTTATATATGAACAGTGCTGTGTCACTAACATTAGTTATGTCTTTGTGAACAGGCAGCCCAGGAATCTGCATATACACTGTGACACATATACAAACAGAACTCACGCATGCATCTAAAGGTCTTTAACTTCCTTAGATGTTCAAAAAGGAAAACATGATAACTGAGTATTTTAAAATAAAACTTATTATAAAAACAGTATTTCAGATCTTATCCACAGTACAGATAACATGGAAAAGTTTCACTCACACCTTCCCCTGATACTTAAGACACCCAGAGTGGCAGAGGATTAGGTTGCCAATTTCACTACCTAGAGATACATGTGTTCAAAATAGAATTAAGCAATAAAAATGCAATTCTTATTTTGCAAATTTGTGTTTGATAAGTGACAGTCATATCGGCTCAAACATTTGCCCAGTGCCATCCCCCTTGCTATGCCAAGTACCTCAGCTTTAATACACATCTTGGCTCCTGGCCTTGTCCTGGACCATGAGAGAAGACTGCCCTTGCACCTGATTCCAATAGAGCTTCTCCATTTCTGCACTATAGAGGTTATGAAAGTGACATCATTTGCTGGCAGACTGCAATATACATAAAGAAAGGACGGAGTTCTCTCTGCTTCCAGTAGAGGGCCCCGAAGACAGTTGGTTCTCCTTGCATTTTTGTGAATTGAAGAGAAAAAGGCTACAAGCAGGTCATTAAACAGGGGAATTCTAAATGAGCCCTCCAAGACTGTGGAACTCCATCCTTTTTCTCCACCTTTGTTTTCTTAAGCTCATCAAAGCCATTTTCCACCTTATTGAGATCCCAGCTAGTAGCACAGCCTTTCTGCTAAAGCTATTTCAAGCGCCCCTGATCCAATCAGCCAAGAGGTACTCATGGGACTTCAAGCTGCAAATCATCTGCTCACTCACCCTCCAATGCCAGGCATCAGAACCACAGTCTCATTGTGCCACAAACTTTAAAATGAGCCAAATGGGCAGACTCACCATCACCAACATCAAAGTCCTTGAAAGCCAGTTCGGAACCTGAATCGTCCAGCAGGATTTCGCCATTAAGCGTGAACATCATGGTGTGTTCGTTCATGTCGACCATGCAACCCACAACGTCGCCTGCCTGCCAGGAGCGCCCGTAGTGTTCATTGCCCTGGTGCCACCGCTGGGCCTATAGGGACAGAAAAGTCCTTGTGACATAGTCAGCCAGGGAACAGAATGCACCCACCATTCTCTGGAGTGACACCAGAATAGAAGAGCTTCAGCCACATCAGCAGCCCTGGGCAAGGCCCGGAGCCAGCTGGAGTGGCCCGGTATCTAGAGCCCCTGATGATCACGTGGTATACTGCTCAATCTTGGGAAAAACCCAGATGCTAGTTCATGCTTTTAGGACTTTTTAAAAATCTAACTCCACATATTATTTTTTTTAAATACACTTTTGTTTTTCTTTCCACTGAAATGACTACTTTCCTGGAAATTAGTGGTTTTTCTTTTAACCCCCCACCCCAAAACAAAGAATTATGACCTGGACATCAAGCTAGGAACTTATCATTGAAAATGACATTCTAGTTTTCACCCATTTCAAAATAAAATTTCATTCCTTGGAAATCCTGGCAATGATAGTTCAAAATTTTGAAAAACCAGAAGATTTTCAGTTACATACTAAAAAAAAAGACTTCAAATCAAACCTAAAAATATTCTTTTTTCCCCAAAATCTAACAATATTAAGATATCTGCTAAAATAAGAAGCCAAAAATTGAATATACAGAAGTGAAATCTCATAAATGCATTGGAAATAGTTTTGGCAAATGTGAATTTTAGATCTACAAGCATATTCCATTGATTTCTGGGTACAAAATCATTTATATTAATTATTTTGCTCACATCACCTTCATTGTGGATTGACACATAACAGGATACAGTGACCAATGCAAAACAGTGATACAATTTTTCTCAATATAACACTATGTATTTTTTAAAATTTTAACTAAATATCAAAAAACATTAAACTTTAAACCAATGTATCTAGTCTGGTGACCTCCTTACTCCACCACAGTCAGTCCCCCAAAGTAAGAGTCCTTTTACTGCCAGGGGTAAGGGGTACTTTGATTCCCCTGGGCAGTTCTTGCTGTTAATTATAGCTGATCTTCAGCAGATATAAAACAAAGGCTGCCTTTTGTCTTATACTTTATTTTTTGAAATTTAAATAAAATTTGCTGTTTGATCAAAAGAGGGAAGGAGACTAAAATTTTCCATTTGAGATTTAAAAAAAATTTCAGGAAATGTGAGGTTTCAGACCACAGTAACCACCTGTCCTGATTTGGAGCTTAGAAACATTGTCCCAGGTGGTTACTGTTATTGCAATTCTATTCCTTTTCACATGGAGGGAAATTATTTTCAATTTAAAACAAATAGAATAAATAGGCAATCATGAAGAAGTTAACATTTGGGTATTTCAGGTGTGGAAAAGGAATATAACTGCATGAAGAAAATATTTTATATAAAATAAAACAATCTTTAAACATTATTAAATAAATAACAAAATAAGGACTTGACACAGTTTAAGGAATAAATTGCTAATAACGTTGAAAATGAAAACTGTGATTATCAATAACATCACATTCAGCATTTTTGCAGCCAGTATTTTTCATTTAAATTCAGTTTTTAGCTGACACATTAAAAACAAAATTGTTTATGGGAGACCACATGATATTTCCATACACATCTACATTCTTGTGATATTTAAATCCATCTAAACACTTCACTCTCCTGAACCTTTGTGGTTAAAAACCCGCGGACCTCCTCCCAGCGGCTGAAAGGGGGTTCTCAGACCCACTGCTCAGCAGCTGGACCTGTGCTCTGTTTAACTGCAGCACGGTGAGCGCAGCCCAACCACTCCTTCTTCCTCCTGCTCCTGGTCCACATTCTACCCTCGCCTAGGGACTAGCATTTCTATGCATTATAGCCACTATTCCTTGAAGACGAATCCTTGCACACTGTATCTTCCACAATTTCTAAGGACAAGGCTGACCCATGCTTTTGGTGACCTCTTGATGACTATCACTGTATGTGTGGGGAGGGGGGAGACAGTTGCGCAACCACGAGGACAGCAACTTCCCTGCATGGAGAAGCTGCCTCTTTATTCACCTGGTGCCTGTAGGGAGGCAGGGACCACAGCGCATCCACCCGCGTCCACTCACCTTGAAGCCATCGAAGGCGAAGGCACGCTCATCCGAGCCCAGCTCCTGGTCAGGTTGACACCCTGGCCTGCTCCAGCCAACCCTCATGTCTCCTGCAGTGACCGCCTCGAATTCAAAATACCAGCGGCCCGCCTTCACTGCGTAGGTCTTCTCTGCGCGGAAGATGCGGAACCTCTCCCCGGTGCCGCTGCACACCTCAGCTCTGGCAGCTGCAATTTCAGACCAGGAAAGCGAAAGAAAAGGAAGGACATCACAGACCTGAGGGACACCATCCCGCGGGGGCAAGACCACCCCTGCCGTGTCCTGTCATGATTCACATTCTACCAAGTGCAAGCTCCCAGCCGCGCCCGCAGGTGCAACCACGTGCAGCGCCAGAGCATCCCTTGCTGGGGCCGGGAGGCGGCGACTCAGCCAATGCTGACCCTAGATGGGGACCCCTCCTTCCGCGCCTTTCAGAGAGAGAACTCTCTGGGCAAGAAAACCCAGGGGCCACCGGGCGGGTTGGCAAGGAAAGACCGCACGCAACGGAGGGTGTGGGTGGAAGAGCAAGCTAAGCTCTCAACTGCTCTGCAGAAGAAGACATTTACCCGTGAGAAAGAGGAGAAAAGGCAGGCTAGGAAGAGAAGTGTGAGGGAGGAGGAGAAACCCTAACAACAGAGGCGTAGTGGATGATGAATTTCCATGGCAGGATGGCTAAGGGCCACTAACGTGATGCCAAACCTCACCACGCCCACATTTTCAATTAATATGCTCTACATACAGATGTGTCTAACAGACAGGGAAAATGAAAGGTCACAGTCTTATATTAGGACCACTGTTGTTGCAAAGGGAAAACCACGTACATATCCACAGGAAATAAGATCCCAGGGAGACCCCTCAGGAATCATAGGAGGCAGGACCAATGGCCCACTGACCTGATACTGCAGACCATGGAAAGGGTCACCTCAGCTAAGATCTGGGCTAGATGCACAGGAGGAACTTCAGTGGCTGAACTCGCATCACACAACCTCTGGAGCCACCTAATGCTACAGCCCTGTTCTTCCCTCTCTGCCTGATAGCTAGTATAAAGTTAGTGAACACTGGATAAATGTTAGTCCTCACCTTCCCCCCTTTCACGGCCTTTTAAGTAATAAACATTTAATAACAGTTTAACCACTGAGTTGATATGGCCAATTTAAAATTATAAAAGTAAATCTGATACGCCATGAAAGTCACTAGTAAGACACAGCTCCATCATATGTAACAACTCATAATTAGATTGAAATAAAGCCATGAAAAGAACACAGGTGCCAGTCACAGTGATGCTAGTGGCTAGGGAGGCTGAGACAGGAGGATCTCAAATTCAAAGTCAGCCTCAACAACTTAGTAAGACCCTAAGCAATTTAGCAAGACTCTGTCTAAAAGATAAAAAGTGCTGGGATACAGCTCAGGGGTTATGCTCTCCGGGTCCAATCTCTGGTACCAAAAAAAAAAAAAAAAAGCAATAACACCATGGGCTATAGCATTTTGTAGCTCTCCACTATGGGTTAATTAATGAAATGATCAATAACTGCTTGGGATGACAGAGGTGGGGATTAAAGAACCAACACCTGCTGACTTATCTTTCAAAAGCTGACTCAAGTCCCTAAATAAAATAAATCCATGGTGAAGACATTACTCTCATGTCTATTACTGAAGATTTAAGTTTTTGAGGGAAAAAAAATTGTATCAGATTTTATAATGCTTAAAGGCAGTTGCTGACACTGAGAAACTAGTTCTTAAAAATAATTCATTTCAGGAAAAGTAAAATTTAATTTATAATTAATTTTTCATAAAGATACACCTACTAATCCATTGACTCCTTAAATCATGGTTGTAACCTTTCCTAAGAATATAAACTATGAACCACACATTTGGAGATAATTTTCAGGGGGAAAATAGTTTTCCATATTTTTAGTTATGCTGACATTTGTAAATAAAATCTGACATTATATTGTAATATTCAATTCCCAATTGTACAAGTACAAAATATTCCATTTTAAAAGAATACTGAGTCACAGAAATGTCCCTAGTTCCATTCCCCTTTACACTTGCAGGATATCAGAATTCACCAACATGCAGCTGTGCAGGGAAAGGAAACATTTTTTTGATAGCAAATTTAGTTTAAAATACATAATTTCTTCCAAAGCCTACTATAAATTTCTCTTGCTATTGAGTTAGACCACTAACCCCCTTCAGTAGTACAGGGAATGAAAATAACAGAGTCTACCTGGGAAATGTGCAACAGTAATAATGAGGAACTTCTTAGTTCTGCCATTCTCCCTGATCTGAAGCTGCTGCACTATTCTTGTGCTCAGTGAAGATGTACAACCTGAATTTGAGTAAGCATGGTCTTCACAAACACACTCATGCAAGGGACTTCATAGTAAGTTACTCCCCACTTTTTAACTTCTATGCATCTTCCTCCAAATGCCTGTATATTTCATATTAATATTATAATAATATCCTTTTGCCTCCCAAGTCTCTGGGATTATAGGTGTGCACCTCTGCACCTGACTCATATTCTGTAATTTTCTTAAATTAGTTTAGGGTAGCGTATAACCACAGTTTTTGAGAAGCAATAGTTCATGGGAATTTTTTAGAGAGAGACAGACACATGCAATCTTTAGAAAATTTTATTGCATATTCTGTAGCAAAAAGCATCTGAGCACCAGCATCTGCTGAACCAAACTGGGAACAAAGACTTGCCAAAGCCTCAGATACAGGAGCCAAGCAAACAGCCAATGGGTAGCACCCTCGTCCAAGACATGGAGCTCTCTTCTACCAGCATGAAAGTCCTATGAATAGCTTAATTATAGACATGCTATATCCATAAGTTTTGGTAGGCAATTTTAGCTCATGTAAGTGTGTTATACAAATGATTTTTATATCATCATCACAAACAGGGTAACTGAAATTAAAAATGAGCTGTGAGCAGATTCGTTCGTAATGCACCTTGTCAAGGCTTCTTCTCAAAACTGGATAATTTTAGGAAATAGACCAATAAAGTCAAGGTTACAGACAAGGATGATAAAAACTGCATTCCCAGTACCCAAAGAGTTAGAACAGAGAGGGCACAGCACCAATGACTGATCAGACACATCCTAAATAATTATACAGCAGCAGCTCCAGAGTGAGACTCCGCCACTAGGGGGCTGTCAAGATCTATTTATGTGTTAACCAAAGCAGCAAGCCTGGGATGCTCTAGAACTTTACAGCAATCTAGAATCTTTTAGGTGAATTCATTTAATACTTGAAAAAAACTGGTATTAACCAGATACCAGACCAACTCCTTAGTATTATTTCTACTAAAGCATTTCAAGTCTTGATAAAACCTGTACTGAAAAAATTTGAAATATTTTAATATTTAATTAACACCAATATTCCAACAACATGAACTGAGTTCACAATTAAACTGAAATAAGCAAGCATTATGCTGAAAAAATAATAGAAAATGTTAGAGCCCTAGTTAATTACATGGAATTAGGGATTAAAGTTTAGCAAACTTTTATGTTTTTAAGTTTTTAAAATGTCAGCAACATCCAAAGAGTCTAAAAATGAATGCTTTCAATCTTACCTTCATGGTCACAGGCTTTATACAATCAAATCTTTCACATCTCTTAATTTCCATTCCCATCATCCTTGTTCAGAAAAATCACAATTTTTCCAATGCTTCCAACTGGTCTCTCCTCTCCTATCACCTCCCCCTCCAATCTGCTCCTTCCCACAGTTGCCATGGTTATACTGCTATTGTAAACTGTGATTACACATCAAGATCCTGCTTGGAAACTTCCTGGGGTTCATACTCCCTGCACACATTTATCCACATTTCTTAGCTGGGATTGGAAGGTTTTCTGTCCTTGGCCCTAATCCTTCTACCTTCATCCCTTGCTATTCTGCCCCCACCATATCCTGAATTGAGCCGACTACACCTTCACCATGGTGTAGCTCTTTCAGTACTGAATCACATCAGACACTTTTTCCCTCTGGTAGGAATGTCTTCCTTGACACTCATCTCCACTTGCTGAAATCTGCATCTCTTCAACATCTGACCCAGGAGACTTCTCTCTTTCCTGAGTCCTCTCACTAGAAAATTTATCTTTCTTATTCACTTTCCATAAAGCTCAAATGATTCCCTGTCAAGTATGCTTGATCCTGACTATCAAGAAAACATGATCATGGCTTCTTCTTGGAATACACAATGCTTGCCTCTTTGATCACTGTTAATATAACTTTAGTAAGAAAGACCCTTGTCAATCAAATGACAACTTTATTTTAAACTTAAAATTCAGACCCTGTGCTGTTATCTAATCACCGTTTTTCCTCCCAGTGTTCTCATTTCCTTACATGAATGCATTCACTCTGCCAACTCAGTGAATGCCTCTCCTCTTCCTTACCTCTACATTCTCTCTCCATTATCAATGTCCACACCTGCTCTACAGAGTTTGCTGGAAAACATGCCCAGGATAGCTTGGTGCCATGACTCACTAGCCGTCTGCAATCTTGAATGGACCCTCAGTGTTTCTCTGCAACCTGCTCATTTATTTGCAGTCTGGCTCTGCTCCATTCTACAAAGCAGTCAGTCCTAACATTTATTGCTGAGGGCTATCAGGAGGAACCACAAAGACTCTTGCCTCTAGAAGTCATCTTCTCCATAGAAATCAGTGAGAACACTGGCAACTTTTACCCAAATCAACTTCCAGAGCTCTGAAAGTAGCTAAAGGCGAGCAACAATCTGCAGGGGTGTATAAGTACTCAACAAAAATGGCCCAGTGTATGAACAGTATGCCCCATTCCCATACTGCTAGCTCCATGGTATGCTGAAAACCAGTGGCTCCTCAAGCATAGTGAAACCAGCTGCCTAGCAGGCTCTAGGGCAGGCAGAACAGGGTGGGTGTCCTCTAAAGCCTTTTCAGATCACTGTTGTGATTTTTACCTGATACATCCTCAGAAAATCCCACTTGCAAGACATGTTGATTCCACCTTGCAGCATGCCAAGTGTAGATAGTCTTTTCCATGGGGACATGTACTGAAAATCACCAGTCATTTTTTTTTAACATGGCAGCTCCTTAAGATAGCAGTAGAAGAGTTGAGCCAAAACAGAAAGGTTGGAATATGAGATGTTCACAGCAGGCTACGGAAAACCAGAACACTCCTAGAAAGCTACAAGGACATGTTCATACCCTATGCT